TTATCATAAGCTGTAGCCGTGGGAACTACGATCCATTGCAACTAGGCCAATGATAACGTGTAGATAAAAGCTTCGATGGAACTTGTATGTAATTAACTTTGATGATTAGGACTAATTTTGATGCACGTGCTTAGCACTAGCACGTTTATTTCGGTGATAAAAAGTTTTTTTTTTTTGAGGGGCCAAAATCATCCATGGACTTCTCCCGCCTTGGGTTAGGCGAGAGGGAGTTTCAGACTCTTATTGACTAAAAACCACCGCTGCTCCTCGAGCCGGATCCCCGGCAACCCGTAAGGCCTTCCGCGGCTCCTTATCGGGCATCAGCCCTACTGGGCCCCATCTGTGGTGGTCTAATGGTTCTTTGAGGCACGCGCAGACGGGATAAAATGGATTACCAGTGTGTTTACAATCATATATTTTTTTAACGTAATAGCAGAAAGTTTTACCGTTCCGAGAGCTATGCCTAATGAGCAAGCTTATCCGAAATGACAGCATGGCTTCGTAGAAAACCGGCGTGAAACAACGCTTCCGTTGTGTTCTATCTATCTCCACCGTCTTGAAGTTATCACATGCAAGTAGTAACTGGTGGGAACATAGATATAATATAATCCATCATCATCAACAGCCTATAAATGCCCACTGCTGAGCAAAGCCTCTTCTCACATAGATAAGGTTTGAGCATTAATCACCACGCTTACTCAATGCGGGTTGGCGATAACAAACTTATAATTAGAAATTATACGCCCAGGTTTCCTCACGATGTTTTCCTTCACCGATTGTCAATGGTGTTTAGATAATCTTAGAAAATGCACATCACATAACTCGGAAAGAGTCACATTGGTACTTGCCGTTGATAGGTTTCCAACTCGCACCTCCATGCATGAGAAGCGGACGTCTTAAACCTCCAGGCTACCACGACATAATAAAATTCAATATTCCTATAGGTACAGCAATTTGCAAGACATTGTAACGTCTTGCAATAATACTTGATCAACTAACACATGCAAAATTTAATGGTAGGTATTTGTCTAGAATGTTATCACTTATCAGTCACTATTCTTGTTCAAATTGGGTTACTATAAAAGTATATAATGTCATTAATGACGTAAATATATTTCCATGAAATGAACTAAATACGCGTTTATATGTTTCTACTATAAGAACGGATAACAATTTTTTCCTGCTTTGACATCAAACACGTTTTTTCCTGAAATTTGGTAAATGTAAATGTCGAACAATATGAATTTATTAAATAGACAAGTAGGGATTAATTTAATAACCGCATTTCCTACTCGTTTATGCGGTTGGTAACTTCGAATGGATAAATGAAGTAGGTACTTACCTACTCGAACGCTTTTTAAGAACACATAACATCACGCCTTTTATCCCTCAAGGGGTAGGTAGATAGGCAGGTGCACATTACGGCACTTAATACCTGTTACTAATAAAGGTTTACCCCTTATTACTAATCTTAATATAAATAGTAAAAAGTGGTCATTATTTTATTTTACTAATTTTTAAATAACTATTGATGACGGCTCGGTCCTAATAGGGTCTCATACAATACACCTAAAAGGTCCAAAACGTGAATATTTTTCATGAGTATTAGGTAATTTTTTTGTAATAAAGACAAATACAACTGCTAAATATCGAAATAGAATTATTCCTAACACCAAAATTGAGTTGTTTTCATACAAGTATTGATTATGTTTTTCTTAGTTCACTGTGCGAAGGGGTATTTTTAACCGCTTAGTCGTACCCATGGGGGCACAAAGGGTCGCTTCAGTTCTGCACCAATGGGTCTCACTGACCAAAGGGCCGGAAATCCTAGAGGATATCCGAGTCTCGGTCAGTTGTTTAACTACTTTATAACGAAGATATATTACTAACTAAATCTGTCACTTATTAGTTGAAGCAAAGTGTTTATGGATGAATATAAAACACGGTGTCAAAGTAATAAGAAACGGCTATATATCAGCCCAGTCCAGATTTAGCATAAGTATCTCCACGTCCTGCTAATGGGTTATAACTTATAGATGACAGTTTAAAAAGTTTAGAGTTCATAGAGATATTTACTACCCGGTCTCGGTATGTAGAGTATGATCATAGCATCACGTATTTATGTATTGACTTTTGTCTATTCATATAATTTGACCTTGCTTTTTGACTTGTTGCATATTCAGTGATGAACTTTTCCTTCCCTAATTCATTTTATAAAATGTGTAGCAACTATGTTGTTGTTCGTACTATTAACAATCAACATTATATATGTATTAAATTCCTTGTCATGTAATTAAATGTTGCACATGAATAGGATTAATTATTATGTGTTCAGCTTACTCACGTAACTGATGGGGAACTCGACTAGTTTCAAGCCATGCTAGAGGCTCATATTCATGAGCAGTATTGCGCGACCCGCGACGCGGTGGCTGTCGCGCTGCTACATAATAATTCATTTAGGATGTCTCACGAAAGTTATAATATAACCATGCATAGGATTCTTACAACGATCTTTTCCTCAGCCTATAATAGATAGCTACAGAAGTTATACACTCGCGCGAGCAGATATGATGTTGAGGTACATTGCAGTCTTATAATACCAGAAGGACTACAACTCTTTTAGAAAAACAGCAATGTATCTCGGCCTCGTCTCGACTCACGCGAGAGTGTGGATGCAGCATTAAAATAAGTTAAACAGTTAAATAGCTGTTCGCTATTAAGATATACGGAGTTTGGAATAGTGCCTTATGTTTTTCGAAAGGCTCATTCCTTAATAAAATGAGACTATACTTTTGGTAAAAACCATCGACTGCCAATTCAAGCACTTGTAATTAACTCCTTTGATGAATCAAATGTAGGGGCGGCGCTGATGACTTACCATCAAGTGATTCTTCTGTTCGATTGCGCCCTGTCCCCTTAAAACAAACAATGTACGATACCCAATTACCTAAACTTACGAACAAGAACAACTAATTTTATTCATAACAAAGAACACTCATTTCATAACATTGTCGATATCCTTATCAATATGGCCGCCAGAAATAAATCTAAATGTAGCAATGAATTAATTCACGTCAGAATTGGACGCATCCATCGTTATTACACTATGTTATAAGTTATCGCCGTACTTATCAAAACTCGGGGTAACAGAGCAAGTTCATTAGCACCAACTGATAACAGAACGTGGCCTTTTTAGCCCTCAAACGATCAAGAACGATGGAGTGCATCTAATTTGTGATGAAATGAAGGCTCATTTACGCGTGTATGTGAGGAAAATAAGAAAAATGTTTACTTTTTTAGTTCATTTCATTACTTAGGTGCAAGTCTACAATGGTAAAGCTAAAGGGTCTTCGTCAAATATTAGGCTCAGTTTTATTAGTTTGTATAAGTTCTATCCATAACAAAATTCGACAACCTAATTAAACATAGTTTAAGTTCAAAAAGGACCTAAAACCTAGCCACTCTAATAATCGCTCTTCCGATCTACACATTAAAGTGCAAACTTACACCATATTTTGGTTTGCTTTGACACATTTCTTACCAGTTCCCTATACCCCATACATACCAGAACAAGAATTAGATACATCCTCAGAGTTGGCACATTATATTATTTTATTGCTCCATAATTTAGTCGTAATACCCCATTGCTGGTACGCAGAGACTCGGAAAAAAGCACACTTTCCATTTTAATAACCGACGGAGAGTAGGTACTGTAATGTCATATAAAAAAGGGATTTATATTACTGCTACTTCTACGTAAGCAACATACTGGAAAAATGGATGGACGAAATTAAATTTACATAAGTAATATGATGTTGCTTTAGTAACATAAAAACTGCGTTTAAAAAACCGACTTCAACCAAAAAGTAATAACAAACAAAAAGTAAAAACTAAAAAGCAAAAAATAACTATTAGGTATTAGCACTGATAGGTTACCCACCCACTGATAGGTTAGAAGCCGGCGCCATAAAAAAACAATAAGTCAAACATAGTATCTCCTCCCTTTTTTTAAGTCAGCAAAATTATCTTAATCTGGAGTTACAAATCAAATTACGAAATACTTCTTATTATTTCTACCCTACTTATTCTTTTTGGAAATTTAGTCATTATTCTGTCTTATCTTTTATATTTTAGGTTTCTGTATCTTCAACATCAACCAACATTAAATAGATTCGTGTCAAATTAATTGTTATTGTATAAATTATCAACAATACGAATAGAGAAACCAAAATATAACACATTCACACAAACTAGAGCGTTGTTTTCCTTATTATCAGCGCTTAGATAACCATGTTAATATAACCTACATACTCCTTTACAATCATAGCCACATAAGCTCTTTGTAAACTATATTTCCGATATAATAATATGTTTAGACGCAATAAATTCTTGTACGATGTTTATCAACTAAGTGTGAACTAGATGTTTTATTGATTTTATCAATGAATTTAATTGGTTGTTTGTATCAGATAAGGCTTGTTATGCAGTTCATTCTCGCGGGGAATTCGATAATTTGTATTAACTGCACAAAGTTCATTGCTCTTGGTTGTTGAGGGTATTATGTGTGTAAAATTTGCTTTTATTATTTATACTCCACAATACCAAAAAAAAAAATCTGTTGGCGTAAAGTTATTGGATTATAAAAAACTTATGGGGTTAGTTTCCATATGATGTTAAGACTCTTTACATAATTTCAGCAACAAGATGTCTTTTACTGAACCCTAACGAGTTCCAAATCGAACGGTTAGAAGCTAATAAGTAATCGTTAAATATTTAAACACCAATAAAAAACAAATATATCTTTAAAAAATAAATATTTAAACCTTACTATTGCCCTTGCATTAACATGGCTAGTATTTAACAAGAAAGGCTTAGTATATTCTACTCATGAATACACAAAACTGGCCCGTGGTTAGACGCCATGTTTCTATGTCGCTAATGTTATTTTCTTTTTAATTTTTCAGGAGCGGCTTGGCGCGGCGTAACCGGCGGGCCGCGCCATGGGTAACAAGTGCTGCAGCCGCCGTCATGACCCAGATAGGCCTTTGGGTAAGCTATATCATGTTACAGGACTTTGCTCCTTGTTTATATTGTAATATGTTTTTAAATCGTTTTGCAAATATTGCGATTTAAGTAAACTACGTAAAAATGTCTCGTAGCTACAAAAGGAGGATTTTATTATATCAAACAATGTTAAGTGTCAACACTATTTTGATATAATCCATTGACAAATCGAGGGTTCTTTCGAAAATTAGAAGTAAGACGTAGAATCGATCTTGAGAAACAACTCGATTAAAGTCCCGTGATGTCTCTGTAATTTTGTTCTCCCTGTATAATTTATTTAAGACCCGAAAACCCTTTTAGTTGGCGACAACAAATAGGGTAATATTGTGTATACAGTCTAGTAAATAAAGTTACGCTCGCTGCTCAATATTGCGAAGATACAACAACAATATTTCAACGAAATTAACAATTTCATTTATGAATGACTATTACATCCAAACAAATGATTTTATAACTTCTTAATTACCGGCCAAAAGTAACCGCGAAATAAGCAAAAAATGCCTATAAAGGACGAAACCAAGCTCAGAAGAGGTTATATTTATAGCAAAGCAATTTCCTTGAAGAGAACAATGGTGCTAGATTTTTTCGCACGATGTTAAAAACGCGCCCATTAGACGCAATTCGTGTACTATTCTACTTAGAAGCCAGTTTGAGGTCACATGCATTGTTTGGAAACAATATTAATTGCACATGAATGGCCATATGAATCAAATAGCAATTACAGATTCGATGTTATTAATTACCGCTGCACTAAAAGGTCAAGGGTGATTGGAACAGAATTTATCCTAACGGTTAAGAAACACGTTGGTCAATTCAAAAGTAAAAACGTCATTTAGATGTTACCCAAAAGTTTTACTGAAGTAAACCTTCGTCAGATTTGCCTCGTGTGAAAACATCCTTTGAGATAGGGGATCTTGAATTTCGAGTGCAAAGCAACACATAAAACGTGTCTACGGGGTGTGTGAGACTCGTAAAAATAAAGGGAAGGAACATTTCAATGGTTTGTCAATATTTAAAGTAAAAGTAGCGCAAAGTACCGACCGTATTAAATAAATACTCCTTCACGAAAACTCCTTGCCTTGAGTATACTTTAAATTATTAAGTAACGGGTGGCTACGGCCATTGTGCGGTCTAAAATTATACTTTTGCGTAACTTGTTTTAGTTTTAAGGAAAGTCTGTTCGTTGGAACACTTTCTGGTGGCTGTTTCTTTACTACCTACATTCTGGGTTCGGGACCGAGTCCTAACCAGACCCTTTTGTCGAGAGACTATCTATCCTCCAACACCTCGAGCAAAAGTGACACACCAGTCTTGGTGAGATTTGTCGTCAAATTTTTATGCTACTGTAAAAAGTAGTCTCACAGAAAAATCCATTAACACTTGTCAGTTCAGCAGCCACAGAGATGTTGTCACCTGTCATGACACTGTTTTGTTTTTAAAATAAAAATGATTAATGTTAATGGATGTCTGTTTCAGTATATCCGGCGTATAAGAACGAGGCGGGGTTCACGGCGTGCCCGTCGTCGCTGGAGACGCGGTACACAGGAGAACCCAACACACGAGTGCTGTCGCGACCTCCTGCGGACATCGTGCGCACACGCAACCCTGGAAAATGTAAGTGAAAAAAGAAAATATAACTTTTTGTGGTTACTTTGATGTTTTCTACTTGTAAGCCTTCGTCATAATATTTTGAAATCTTTATTATGTCAGTATAATTGTTATCCATATTCAAATTCTGGTCAATTTTAGTCTGATAAAGAAGTCTATTAGCTTCAAAAAGCTTAGAATAATGCATGGGATTGTTAATCTCTTACTCGTCATAAACTACTCCCGTCTTATTCAGCTGTGGTAGATAATCCAATAATAATGAATCACCAAAAATATTCCAGGTATAACCAACGGCGGCAGACGCGTAGTGAAAGCGCTATGCGCGTACACAGCTCGAGCGGACTCGGACATCTCGTTCCGCAAGGGCGACCGCATGGAAGTCCTGAGCGATGCAGAGCCTGATTGGTGGAGAGTCCTACATCTCACCACGAGGAGAGAAGGACTTGTACCCGTCAACTTTGTCGCTGAAGAAAGTTCTGTTGAATGTGAAGAGTAAGTATTACGTATTAATTGATTCTGCTGCTATAATGCTATGCGTTCTACTGAGCTGTAGTTGTATATAGCTTTGTCGTAAGCTATATTACCATTGATCCAGTCTGAAGGTCATAGGTAATTATGCTATTTTTAACCCTACATATGAACCACTGTCATTCATTGTTTGTTCCTAAACTACTAACATACTTATAAATTAAGAATCTACTAATTGATTTTACACTTCGTTCATCAATTTCACAAAGACACTAAGTTCACCAGTTACTGGAGTTGTTACTACAACTTGTTGATTATAACAGTCTTCAAAAGGTTCCACCATACCTGATATCACTCCTCAAAGAGCCATCAGACCACCACGGATGGGGCCCAATAGGGCTGATGCCGATACGGAGCCGCGGAGAAATCAAAGGGTTATCGGGGCTCCGACTCGAAGTGCAGGAGTAGGAACGGGGTGGTTTTTAGTCAGTAAGAGTCTGACACTCCCTCCAGCCTCATCCAGGCGGGAGAAGTCATTCGACTATATTCCGCCCTTAAAAAAAACCTAATATATTTAAAAAAAATCTATATATCTTCATCATTTCCACCAACTAACACATTACAGCTTCATAACAAAAAAACAACATAAAATGGTGATGGGTCACAACCCTCCCCTATGTGTTATTAATCAGCGACTTTCCGCTAAAGGCCGACGTCATGTTGCAGCTGGTTCTTTCCTCACGTATCCCGCAAAGAGGCTGACAAACTCCTCCTTGCTGAGACCAACCCTCGAGGGACCTTCCTCGTGAGGCCAGCGGAACATAATCCTCACGGCTTCAGCCTCAGTGTCAAAGATTGGGAGGAGGGAAGAGGGTACCATGTAAAACATTACAAGATTAAGCCTTTGGACAATGGAGGGTTCTACATCGCTACCAATCAAACGTTCCCGAGTCTGCCTGCGCTTGTCATGTCTTATACGAGTGAGTTCGGATTTGACTTTTTTTATTTTAAACTTTGTGCTCATGTTCGACTTTATCTCAATAATGTAGATGTACCTATAGAAAAGTTCCTATTTATTTAAAACTGAATCTTAATCGCATGGTCATACCCACAACGCTATTTGACTGAAAATTTTAAATTCTAATTTGAACACGCTAGGCTCAATGATCGAAAACATTGTGCTTATCAGTCGCAATTCTTCTTCATCAATTATATCTTGGTATTTACATATTTCGTTGTGGGATACAAATCATTATTTTGTTGATCATTGACGTTCTTCTATTCTACAAACTGTAAAACTGTTTTGTCTGTCATTGACAAATGTAAACCAGAGTGCCAAGCACGAATAACTATCGCATTCGTAACGTAATAGTATCGAGCGCGTTCGGCGCTCTGATTGGCCGGCTCAAGTGAACCAACCAATCAGAACGCTTAACTCGCTCGATACGGTTACGATACGAATGCGATAGTTATTCGTGCTTGGCACCCAGGTTTGGTTTACAAGTCTCAGTGGTTGGATGGCAGGTCTGTTCTTTTAAAAAACACCTAGTAGCCAATAATATAGTTTGTATACTTCATATTTCACACTAACCATTAAAAAACGTTAATCTAAATAAAAGATACTGATGTTTGCAGAGAACGCGTTAGGTCTGTGCCACGTGCTAGCGCGGCCGTGTCCGAAGCCTGAACCTCAAATGTGGGACCTCGGGCCAGAGTTACGGGACAAATGGGAGATACCACGGTCAGAGATACAACTCATCAGGAAACTAGGACAGGGCAACTTCGGAGAAGTCTATTATGGAAAGTGGCGTAATAATATTGAGGTAATTATTTTATTTTCTCTACTTGTGTAGTTGAAGAAGGATTTGTTAAGGAATTTGATAATCTTTATTTATATAATTCTGTTGTGCGTGTGTAGTCATTGAACTCCTCGTAAACGGCTTTACCGATTTCAATGAATTTTTCTGTATGCGTTTGAGTGGCGCCCTGGATGGTTTAGATTCACAAATCAACCCGGCAGATGGCGCTGCAGTCGATGTCTAGGTTATTTAAAACTTAATATCTTGAAATATCGTAATAATATGCAGGACAACGTCTGTCGGGTCCGCTTGTAGATTATATAATAGAATTTCAATTTCCTCATGTAAATCCTGCGAAGTATGATAGGTATAAAATCGATACCAGTTAGTTATTGAAATGAAATATTAAATCACTACATTGTGATTAAGTTTGGAACTCAACTTTTTTGTTCTCTTGTCAAAGGGAAGAGTGGAGTGCGACCTTTGTGCATTTATAAGTTCAATCCTAATTCATACAATATGACCATTACAGGTTGCTGTGAAAACACTAAGGGAAGGCACGATGTCGACACAAGCCTTCCTACAAGAGGCCGCCATCATGAAGAAGTTCCGACACAAGCGGTTGGTGGCGCTGTACGCAGTTTGTTCCACCCAAGAACCAGTATACATAGTGCAAGAATACATGAGTAAAGGTTCCCTCCTAGAGTTCCTCAGAAACGGTGAGGGCAAGTTCCTCCAGTTTGAGGACCTCGTGTATGTCGCCGCGCAAGTCGCGTCCGGCATGGAGTACTTAGAATCCAAAATGTTGATACACAGAGACTTAGCCGCTAGGAACGTGTTAATAGGTGAAAACAACGTAGCAAAAATATGTGACTTTGGACTCGCAAGGGTGATTGAAGACAATGAATACTGTCCTAAGCAGGGGTCTCGCTTCCCAGTCAAGTGGACGGCACCAGAGGCCATCATTTATGGAAGATTCTCCATCAAGAGCGACGTCTGGTCGTACGGCATCCTTCTTATGGAACTGTTCACGTACGGTCAGATACCTTACCCTGGTCTGCACGGCAAGGACGTCATTGAACAAGTAGAGCGAGGCTACAGGATGCCCAAACCCGTCGGCCACTACCTCCCCGACGATATCTATAGACTGATGCTACAATGCTGGGACGCTATCCCCGAGAAACGGCCCACTTTCGAATTCCTAAACCACTATTTCGAATCATTCACAGTGACCAGTGAGATACCGTACAGAGAAGTGCAAGACTAGTGCTGTGATATAGTGAAATAGTTTGTATGTGCCGCGTGAGAGACATGTGTAGGGTCCTCTTAGCAAATGTCGGAGTTATATCGTCTGTGGCCGTCCTGTCGCGGGACCGACCACACACCTATAAATCCACTTTTAGTATTTTTATACTCAAATCATTAATGAACTAAAACAATACAGGAACGTGTGAGCTTCTTTTTTATTGGTCGACGGCTTTCCTCTTCTGTTTTGTAAGTCAAAATTGATATCGAAATACTTAGCCTAAGTCAATACGAAAACACAGAAACTGACGTACGTATAAGTCAACTAAAATAACTTAAGTATTTATAGTATTGATCAAGTTTCACTTTCTATTATTTATGTAGCTTATAAGCACTGGTAGTGTTGTTTTGCATTTTGTACAAACTCAATTGTTCACTACGGCATAAGCAATAAGGTTGAAAACGAAATGTAACACAATATTTTCATATTCTAAAATGATATGTGATATTTTTTTATCACCTTAAGGCCCGACACTGGAGTACGAATAAGATCTCAAGTCCTACGCTTCACTCGTGCTTTGTAACTCCATGTTATTGTAAAAGTTCATGCATAACCAAAATTATGACTTATTTGCGTACAAATTTATATTTGCCCTTGTAATGACAGAAAACTGAACTAAAGTACTTCAAGGCTCCTTTGCAATTATCATGTAAATGTTAGAGGAAGGTATTGTAGAAACCTTTAGTTGTCATTAGCTCCCTGAATCAAAATTGACTACTGGGTAAGATATGGTAGATAGAAATACAGGATAGAACTGAATAAGAACCATAACACATTCCCTGTCACTACAATTTTCTTGAAGTTCATAACAATGCCTTCTTCTTTGGTTAATGTTAGAGGACTATGTACTGAGAATGCCAAAAGGCAATTTTGACACGTCTGGTGTGTTCGAAGCGTTGTTATATAAATTCACAAGACCACGCTAGGCGCTAAGTGGCACTTAATAAAACATGTCATGTGCAGAGTAACATCAACCCGTTGAAATTGTTGACAATCATCCCCTAAATTTGTTCATACAAAAGTAGTCTCTAAACGTTGGAAATAAGGTCTATAATGTAGTTAGTGGAGAGTGGTCACCGGTGACCGCTTGGGGATGTTTTTAAGGTTCTCTTTTGAATTTCTATCGACCAAAACTACCAGTTGTTACAAAATTGTGATAAAACTGTGCTCAATGATCCCATACAACTTGCAAAGGGGCCAACTATCCTCATGTAAAAAGACAAATAATGCTAGCTATAGGACCATATACCAAAGAGATAATTGTACATTAAGAACGAATGATAGATGTAGAGAGAAGCGTATTTAATTTATAGCATAGTTAGACCTTGTGACCTGTATATTATTAATTAATTAATTTGACCAATTATCCCCCATTATTGACGCATGTATTAAATCATATTAATTGTTAATATAATTGGATTCTAATCGACTGATCATCGATCCGTTGTTTATAATTGTAACTGCAAAATTTAACCTCAAATTTTATTGTTTTCTTCGCCTAGAAGTATTAAAATGCTTTAACCACTTAATCGTTTCGTCTTAGAAAAATGTAAAAAGCCAATGAAAAATAGTGTCTTAAATAACATTCCAAATATTCAAAACACGTTAAATTTGGACACTTTTGTATGAAAACGTTTAGATTTGTAAGATTTTGTACATACAATGAAAATAAATGTCATTGATATAAATTATTTTATTTCATTTATACACATTCCACCTATACAATGTAATTCTTGTCAAATGCATCTGTTGATTGATTCACATATACCCATAATTCTTTAAACTAAAATAAACGTCGATAGCTAATTGTAACATAAATAACAGCTGGTATCATCACAAAGGGCTAATTAACAGACTTTTTTATTTTAATGTGTCTGTAGATTATTTTAAAACATTAGACAAGTATTTTTTATTTTCTCATAACCACGCCTTTTTATCCCCAAAGGGGTAGGCAGAGGTGCACATTACGGCACTTAATGCCACTGTTCAATGTAACACCCACTTTTCACTATTTATGTTATGAGTACCATGTAATAGGGGGTGAGCCTATTGCCATATACCGGGCACAATTCCAGACTCCGTGCTACCACTGTAATTTTTTTATAAAACCCAATAATACTTTGCCCGACCCGGAAATCGAACCCGAGACCTTGCGACTACTTGGCCAACGAAACAGTCTTTTTTATTTTCTTACAGAAGGAAATAGTTTCGACGATATATTGATTTGAAATACCGCATGACGTCACTTCTATGGCCGTTTTATACGTAGAAATGACGTTTTACTACTCCGAAACTTTGAGTCGTTTTATCTAAGTATTATTTTCTTATACGACAAAATAAAAAATACGTGTCTAGTATTTTTTCATGACCTAACTGACGGACTTATTACATTTTTAATTTTCAATTTCATACCCCGTCATCATCCCTATCCCTATCAAGTCTGCTAACAAGTAAACATATACATATTTCAACCAAAACTTTTACATTTTTACATCAAACTCAAATTTACACCAGCATGATATGTATAATCTCAATATCAATAATCACTGGATAGATAGTTGTGTTGTTATTGGATTATAAACTTTATTACAGTCGTCATTAAAATAAAATCAGAATAAATAGGTAAATAATGGTAAGTATTATGTTTATTACTACTGTTTCGTAATAATCATCGTCGTAGGTCTTATTAACAATGCTAGAATGGACAAACAATATTCATATACATTTAAGAAGAAAAGAAAAGAAGCCACAGTCGTATTTTCTTTTTCTTTTCTAATGTGTATATCACTATTTACCTTTAAACTGTCAAACATCAAGCGGTCACCGGTGACCGCAACCTATTGTTCTTTGTGTCTATAATGACGGTACTCAAAGAGTTAAAATGAGAGCATTTATGACTCGGCAGTCGGGGTGTTAAAGTTCCCTATGCTCTATTAAGTGTTAAAGTAAAATATTTTTTTTATATTTAAAGAGGGTTCGATATGATAAAAAACGCTAGTAGTTCCATTTCTTTGCTCTCAAGCGTAGTTAAAATTACGGAAGAGATACATGCAGTTGTAGCCAAATGCCATTTAGCGCTTGTCTACATGTAGAATAGAAAACCAAATTATATGGAATTGACGTAAATTTTGACACTTGATAGTGTCATCCCCATTTTTTTTTTGTAAGGGGGGAAAATCATCGAATGACTGCTCCCGCCTGGGCGAGTCGGAAGGGAGTGTCAGACTCTTACTGACTAAAAACCACCCCGTTCCTTCTCCTGCACGTCGAGCCGGAGCCCCGGTTACCCGTTAGGTTCTCCGCGACTCCGAATCGGCATCGGCACTATTGAGCCCCATCTGTGGTGGCCTGATGGCTCTTTGAGGCGCGCGCGGAACGCGACGCGCCGTACACTCGGGTCTGTTTCTGGTCGGACGGGGAGCCACCCATGCTCGCCGTCCGCAGGCCCGCGCTTACGGTGGCCGGAGATCGTCCCGCGATCCCCGATGCCCGGTGTGTCCTTCGCGATGGCTGGGTTGCGAGGAGGCAGCGCTTCGCTGCCTCACGCGTCCCGCCTCCTCCTTAGAGTGTCATCCCCATACATTTTGATTTCTACTCTCTCTGTAGACAAGCGCTAAAGTGGCGTTTGGCTAAAGGCCATGGAATATTGACAATATGACAAAATTTCATTTACTTAGTTAGATACGCTAAATCGATAGCATTTGAAAAACAAAGCAAAACCTATCTATACACACGATTTCATTAACCTCTTGTTTATCGGGACACAAATGTACGCGAGACACAATGCGCTTTCTATAGTGTCTCATATATCGACAGGTTAAAACAAATAAAGTCGTTTCTTAGCTATGCGCATACCTATGCATATACCCCCGGAGCCGGGGCTCCGGCTCGAAGTGCAGAAGTAGGAACGGGGTGGTTTTTACTTTTTTAGTCAGTAAGAGTCTGACACTCACTCCCGCCTCACCCAGGCGGGAGAAGTCATTCGATGATTTTCCCCAATTAAAAAAAAGCTATGCGCGATTTAAACGAATCTTATACTGCTTGACAGGATGGACAACAAATGTTTGACAGGTACGAACATTAAGGGAAAATGGTTCATCTTTTATATTTATGTTCTCGTCGAGTTTTTATTATTTTTATTATGTATTCTGCTATTCGGGGCGGGGATTAATCTAACGAACCAAAAACCATGAAAATTGGTCTAGCCGATCTCGAGTTATAAGAGTTGGAACAAACCCGTCTTTGTTTTATCTATATAGATAAATACAGTGATGTACAAAATACCCAATACAAAGTATCTGAAATATAAAATGCAAGATACTTTAAAATTAAGTATTTCAGATACCAGATACAAAATACTATTGACATTGGTATCTGAAATACTAGATACAAGATAGGTATCTTTAAAATACTTTTTAAAGATAAAATACTTTTCTAGGAAAACAACACCTGAATGAATTCAAATTTTCTTATTTTAAAGGTGAATGCTCACGGAGTATAAAAAACCCAGGTTTGGCGCAAATGAAACTTATCTCAGATTTTGTGTGATCTTAATAAATGCTACATCAGGAGCATCATCGAAATCGATGGCTAAATGCAAGAAATTGTTGTGTTATTGGCTCATTTCTTTTCGTTTGCGCCAATGTTCGGTTCTGTAGAGCATTGTCCTTTATAAATGTGAGCTTAGAATCTGATCACATTTCATTTTTATTGACGAAAAGAATTCTAAAAGTATCTTATCCGAAAAAGTGTTTGTCAGATACTAAGATACAGAACGAATGTATTTAAATACAAGATATAAAATGGAATTTTAAAAAAGTATTTCAAATACAAGATTGAGATACGTATTTTGTATCTTGTATCTGTATTTCAGATACTTGTATCTTAAATAATTCACATCTCTGGATAAATATAAAGCTGAAGAGTAAGTTTTTTTATCCTCACGACACAGAGAATCCTAGTGTGAGGTCCAGGATACAACAAAATTGTAAAACTTTTCCTTTCTGAAATAAACATTTATTTATTTATTTATATGAACGCATTAATCTTCGGCACTACAGCAGCTGTAGCCAAATGCCACTTAGCGCTTGTCTATATGTAGAATAGAAAACTAAATTATATAGAATTGACGTAAATTTTGACACTAGTCCAGTGTCATCCCCATACATTTTGATTTTTAATCTCTGTAGACAAGCGCTAAAGTGGCGTTTGGCTAAGGCTCTGGTCGGATTTGAAAACTTATTTTTGTGATAGCCCATTTATCGAGGAAGACTATATGCTATAGAACATCACGCTACGATCAATAGGAACCGAGCAGAGCGGGTCAAACCGCACGGAAGTAGCTAAAAATACATACATAATAGATTAAAATTATTTTAGTAAAAGGCATATTTATACAATCAGTATTAATTATTAACTAGATTAATTGCATAAAATAACTTAAATTATTATTTTCTACCATTTTGGAGCCATCGCAATATGTCTTACATATTGTCTTAGTATTATCTAAAATTATATAATAATATTTACATTAAATGGTGCTGACTCGTAAAAAATACATTTAAAAAAACATTTCATAACAATTAATATACATATCTAATATTGAGAAAAAGGTTTTTTTGTTTACATCATTATTTTATCAACATCGAAGAGCATTTTGAAAATCGACTACTTATGGTAGTCTTTGATTTTGAAGACACAATGAGAATACTTTTTTTAGTTGTCATTTCTATTAGAATCTGTGTACATAATTTCATATGTGTGTGCAAAACCCGTCAACACAAACAGCACATTCATCTACTTAAAAAACTAAATAAAACTAATGTCGAAATACTCAAACGTCACTCGATTAAGTCGCGCTTAAGTATAGTTCTGTCACTGAAAATGATGATGTGACTTGAATGACGGCACTGTTGGCGCGGAGGCTGGACAACAGGCTGCCGCGCAACGTGTCGCGGGTTCGATTCCCGCACGGAACAACTCTGTGATCCACAGATTGTTGTTCCGGGTCTGGGTGTCATGTGTATGTGAACTTGTATGTTTGTTAACGCACCCACGACACAGGAGAAAACCCTAATGTGGGAAAACGTTTTTTTTATCTTTGTAAAATGACAGAGACGGCACGATATTTAAGTGCAACTTACATCTGAGTAGCCTTTCAGTATTCGAGCGTAAAGATCACAAATAATAATAAATATTATAATTAAACTGTATCAGCGTACATTTTGCTCTTAATTCTTAGATACCGGTACTCGGACTGGTAAAGACCATTCATATACTGCCAGCATCTCACCACGATACTGGGAACATAGTTCGGATTTTTCTTACTATAATGGTTTAGGTATATTGCTAGTATTACCAGCATACCGGACCATACATACCTGGAAGGAAAGAGTATAGTTTTAGTATCACATAAACAGCCTTTAATGTCCACTGCTGAGCAAACCCTCTCGCACGGAGAAGGTTTCAACATTAATCACCACGCTTGCCCTTGGGTTGGCGATTTCAAACTTATAATTAGAAATTATAAGCCCAGGTTTGAACACGATGTTTTCCTTCACCGTTTCATCAGTGGTGTCTGAATAATCTTAGAAAGTACATATAACTCGGAAAAAGTCACATTGGTACTTGCCGTTGGTAGGTTTCGAACCTGCCCGGGTCACCAAACACGCAGTTTTAGTATGGAGTTGCGGTTTAAGTTTTTATCATCTGTCTGTCAGTTAGTGAAGCTAGGCGCTCGTTCCAAAGTATAGTATGGTACTTAGGGAATAATTAAACTCCTATACAGTGTCTAAATGGAACGCTATCGAAAAACGTCGACAAGTGATGGTAAAAAACAAGATATATTTTTACTAAAAATCGCGGGTTACTCACGTGAATATACTGAGAATAGCTCTACTAGTTTCGAACCACAGAGGAGTTCTTCCTCAGTAGGCTATGCGACATCGCCGCGACCGAGCACGCTGCTCATGAGGAAGAACCCCTCTGTGGTTCGTAACTAGTAGAGCTTTTCTCAGTATATTCACGTGAGTAACCGTAACCTATGGAATAGTAGATCATACTCACTGGAACACAAAAGGCTTGCTGAACACCAAGAAGGATATGATGATGGAGAGCACCTTCCTGAAGGTGGTCACCGTCACAGCGATGGTGGCGCCACAGATACGGACCAGTGTTAATACTGCTTGCAAGCCCAAATACCCAGTCAAACTCAGGAAGAATATATTCAAGTACATTGTTAGTGGATTCTGAAATTAAAGAATTATTTGTTCTGTTATTATTTGTAAACTATGTGTATGCTTAACTAAATATCGTGCTATCTCAGACTATCTCTGTCATTTGACGTAGGATTTGTAGTGACAGAACTATTCTTGTGGACGTCTTTAAATTGTATAGCGTTTGAAAAATCAAACGCTGACCAGAGGCTTAACTCTTGAATCCAATTCCGATCGATCAACTTTGGTATTGTGAAATTTCGTACTCTCGAGTTATAACACTAGCGCCCATTGCATTCGTATTGCGTGGATATTAAATGAACTAAACGGTATTGAGTTTCGCCTTATATTCCGTACTCTGAATGCTATTGTAACAGCAACGATTGTGGTTGTGTAGTTTTGACATTGAATAATTATTAAGATTTTATTGGATTGAAATTGTATTGACATTAAGATTGGTTTCAAGAGTAAGCGCCCAGGAAAAAGTTATCTCTATCACAAAAATATTGATTGGGCGGGGCGAAAAAGCTACGTACGCGCAACACCAGTGTGGGTGTCGCATAGAGTAGTAACTTAGGCACATTACAGTCTGTTGACACAGTTCATCGGAAACCAGCTAGAAGTGAATACACGTGCAACGTACGGACAACCGCTACCCTACAGCTGTAATAGATAAAAGTTCCACTACTAGTCCTCGTGTTCGTTATAGTTTTGTAAATCGTCAAAGCTGTATGAACATTATAAAAAAAGCCTTTATTTGACCTTGCTACATTTCATCGTGAACATTATTATCGTGTATAAACAATAAATTATAGTCGTCCGTAAACTAAATTAATGTAGAAACAATTTATAGTCGTTTGCAAATTATTGTAATCATGTGAAAACTGTTCTAAACGCTATAGTTAATTTTATTATAAAGTTAAAAAGTTAAAATGGCAGTTGTATTCAAAATATAGTTTTCGTTTTTATCGTTGTAATATCGTTTTATTCTTGCTTTAAACTCACTTTGAATTATGTCAGCGTGTGTCGCGAAAGATATTTAATAAAGTCATTAATTTATCAGTGACTTTGAATTAGGTGAATTTCAACACTGGATCTTTTCGTGCAATAAATCGTTTAATACATAAATCAATTAAACCATAGTTTTATTCTACAATTTCCCGTCTTATGTTTGACCAGCGCAAAGGTCCACAGGGTGTGTATAGAATCGACGCAGTTTGCAGTAACAAATATTAAAATGAAATCAAATCTTTAAAATAAGAATTAAACCCATAATGAGATACCATAAACTAGACATGATTATCAAGCAGACATGCCATTAATAAAACCTTATCATTGCTTACAAATGAGTAGGTAGGCAAATGCTTCATAAAATATATTAAAACGAGTAAAAAGGAACTAAATACATATTACTATTTTGCAGAACAAAAAACAAATGGTTTTTTTTATATTGAGTAGGTATGTTTTTCATAGTGCCATTTTAACTTTTTATAAATAAGGTGGTGTAAACTGTTATCGGCATTACAAGGTTAAAATTAATTAAAACTTATGTAAGTATTTGTTTTCATTGCTGCCATAGCAACTACATAATTCAGGGCCGGATTTAGGGGGGGGGGGGGGCAACCGGGGCGAAAGCCCCGGGGCCTCCACAAGCAGGGGGCCTCCACAATAGACTTCGGAAAAAAAAATCTTTCAAATTTCAACTAGTAAACCTAGTAAACATCTTTTCTTTGATACTTTTTTTTCGCTTTTACCTTTACCTACAGCCTAAAGTACTTTATACATACATGATTATTTGATTATATTAATTTTAAATATTAACAGAAACAGAAATCATTGATCTATATTTGTTCACTCCAATCAGGCAATCAGTGAAATATCAAAATCTCAAATGGCTCTGATAAGCACTTCCAATTTACTACCCATCTTGAGGGAGTACCCCAATGGCTCAATGGCTCAGTGGGATGGTACTTGCCCGCAACCTCGGAGGTTGGCTATTCGATTCCGTGTCTCGACCATTAAAAAAATTAATTGCAGTATGTGAACAATTGGTATTCTCCAATTCTTAAACTCGAAATCTGTCGAGCGTCCTCGAAATCTATCGAGAGTCCTCGAACGTTTTCGAGCGTCCTCGAAATCTATCGGGCGTCCTCGAAATCTATCGCGAGTCCTCGATCGTTTTCGAGCGTCCTCGAAATCTATCGGGCGTCCTCGAAATCTATCGAGCGTCCTCGAAATCTATCGAGAGCTCTCGATCGTTTTTGAGCGTCCTCGATCGTTTTCGAGCGTCCTCGATTGTTTTCGAGCGTCCCCGATCGTTTTCGAGCATCCTCGATTGTTTTCGAGCGTCCTCGAAATCTATCGAGAGTCCTCGACCGTTTTCGAGCGTCCTCGAAATCAATCGAGAGTTCTCGATCGTTTTCGAGCGTCCTCGATCGTTTTCGAGCGTCCTCGATTGTTTTCGAGCGTCCCCGATCGTTTTCGAGCGTCCCCGATCGTTTTCGAGCATCCTCGATTGTTTTCGAGCGTCCTCGAAATCTATCGAGAGTCCTCGACCGTTTTCGAGCGTCCTCGAAATCTATCGGGCGTCCTCGAAATCTATCGAGCGTCCTCGAAATCTATCGAGAGTTCTTGATCGTTTTCGAGCGTCCTCGATCGTTTTCGAGCGTCCCCGATCGTTTTCGAGCATCCTCGATTGTTTTCGAGCGTCCTCGAAATCTATCGAGAGTCCTCGATCGTTTTCGAGCGTCCTCGAAATCTATCGGGCGTCCCCGAAATCTATCGAGAGTTCTCGATCGTTTTCGAGCGTCCTCGATTGTTTTCGAACGTCCTCGAAATCTATCGGGCGTCCTCGACATCTATCGAGAGTCCTCGATCGTTTTCGAGCGTCCTCGAAATCTATCGAGCGTCCTCGAAATCAATCGAGCGTCCTCGAAATCTATCGAGAGTCCTCGATCGTTTCGAGCGTCCTCGAAATCTATCGGGCGTCCCCGAAATCTATCGAGAGTTCTCGATCGTTTTCGAGCGTCCTCGATTGTTTTCGAACGTCCTCGAAATCTATCGGACGTCCTCGACATCTATCGAGCGTCCTCGAAATCAATCGAGCGTCCTCGATTGTTTTCGAGCGTCCTCGATCGTTTTCGAGCGTCCTCGAAATCTATCGAGCGTCCTCGAAATCAATCGAGCGTCCTCGAAATCTATCGAGCGTCCCCGATCGTTTTCGAGCGTCCCCGATCGTTTTCGAGCATCCTCGATTGTTTTCGAGCGTCCTCGAAATCTATCGAGAGTCCTCGACCGTTTTCGAGCGTCCTCGAAATCTATCGGGCGTCCTCGAAATCTATCGAGCGTCCTCGAAATCTATCGAGAGTTCTTGATCGTTTTCGAGCGTCCTCGATCGTTTTCGAGCGTCCCCGATCGTTTTCGAGCATCCTCGATTGTTTTCGAGCGTCCTCGAAATCTATCGAGAGTCCTCGATCGTTTTCGAGCGTCCTCGAAATCTATCGGGCGTCCCCGAAATCTATCGAGAGTTCTCGATCGTTTTCGAGCGTCCTCGATTGTTTTCGAACGTCCTCGAAATCTATCGGGCGTCCTCGACATCTATCGAGAGTCCTCGATCGTTTTCGAGCGTCCTCGAAATCTATCGAGCGTCCTCGAAATCAATCGAGCGTCCTCGAAATCTATCGAGAGTCCTCGATCGTTTTCGAGCGTCCTCGAAATCTATCGGGCGTCCCCGAAATCTATCGAGAGTTCTCGATCGTTTTCGAGCGTCCTCGATTGTTTTCGAACGTCCTCGAAATCTATCGGACGTCCTCGACATCTATCGAGCGTCCTCGAAATCAATCGAGCGTCCTCGATTGTTTTCGAGCGTCCTCGATCGTTTTCGAGCGTCCTCGAAATCTATCGAGCGTCCTCGAAATCAATCGAGCGTCCTCGAAATCTATCGAGAGTTCTCGATCGTTTTCGAGCGTCCTCGATCGTTTTCGAGCGTCCTCGATTGTTTTCAAGCGTCCTCGAAATGTATAGGGCGTCCTCGATCGTTTTCGAGCATCCTCGATTGTTTTCGAGCGTCCTTGAAATCTATCAGGCTTCCTCGAAATCTATCGGGCGTCCTCGAAATCTATCGAGCGTCCTCGAAATCAATCGAGCGTCCTCGATCGTTTTCGAGCGTCCTCCATTGTTTTCGAGCGTTCTCGAAATCTATCGAGAGTCCTCTATCGTTTTCGAGCGTCCTCGAAATCAATCGAGCGTCCTCGATCGTTTTCGAGCGTCCTCGAAATCAAGCGAGCGTCCTCGATCTCAGCAGCGCTCTCTGATAAACCTGAACCTTTTATACTGCGATCTATAACTTCCTATCAAGCGTGGTTAATATAGACAAGCCCTCAACCCTGGCGTTCTGATTGGCTGGTTCAAATAAACCAGCCAATCAGAACGCCGAACGCGGTTTCGGAACGTTCGATTTCTTTAAATCAAAACACAAAACAACTTCGTACTGAGCCCTCTGCAGTGCTGGACAAGGTCACTCGTCTTGACGGAGGTCACACAATTAATGTATTCGATGCTCCCTGCATTGAATTTATTAAATGTATGATACAGTTAGGGTTGCCACCCGTACGTTATAATAAAGTATTGTACGTTATTTAAGGTAATTGTACTCTATACTTTATAACCACTCCTGCCCGAGTTGCCCGAGGCCTCTGGACCCCTAAATCCGGCCCTGCAATAATTATTATTATAATGCTGAATTTGTAACTGGTGTTGTATAGTGGGGGCTTAGAGCACCCGATGCTCTTAGTGTTTTATAGTGGGGGCTTAGAGCACACGATGCTCCTAGTGTCCTATACTGATGCCCGTAGTGTCCTATAGTGGGGCTTAGAGTACCCGAAGCTCCTAGTGTACTATAGTGGGGGCTGAGAGCACCCGATGCCTCTAGAGTTCTATAGTGGGTGCTTAGAGCACCCGATGCCCCTAGTGTACTATAGTGGGGGCTGAGAGCACCCGATGCCTCTAGAGTTCTATAGTGGGTGCTTAGAGCACCCGATGTCCCTAGTGTCCTATAGTGGGGGCTTAGAGCACTCGATGTCCCTAGTGTCCTATAGTGGGGGCTTAGAGCACTCGATGTCCCTAGTGTCCTATAGTGAGGGCTTAGAGCACTCGATGTCCCTAGTGTCCTATAGTGAGGGCTTAGAGCACTCGATGTCCCTAGTGTCCTATAGTGGGGGCTTAGAGTACCCGATGCTCCTAGTGTCCTATAGTGGGGACCTTAGAGTACCCGATGCTCCTAGTGTCCTATAGTGAGGGCTTAGAGCACCCGATGTCCCTAGTGTCCTATAGTGAGGGCTTAGAGCACTCGATGTCCCTAGTGTCCTATAGTGAGGGCTTAGAGCACCCGATGTCCCTAGTGTCCTATAGTGAGGCTTAGAGCACTCGATGTCCCTAGTCCTATAGTGAGGGCTTAGAGCACTCGATGTCCCTAGTGTCCTATAGTGAGGGCTTAGAGCACCCGATGCTCCTAGTGTCCTATAGTGGGGGCTTAGAGCACTCGATGTCCCTAGTGTCCTATAGTGAGGGCTTAGAGCACTCGATGTCCCTAGTGTCCTATAGTGAGGGCTTAGAGCACTCGATGTCCCTAGTGTCCTATAGTGAGGGCTTAGAGCACCCGATGCTCCTAGTGTCCTATAGTGGGGGCTTAGAGCACTCGATGTCCCTAGTGTCCTATAGTGAGGGCTTAGAGCACCCGATGTCCCTGTTGTCCAATAGTGAGGGCTTAGAGCACCCGATGCCCCTAGTGTCCTATAGTGGGGGCTTAGAGCACCCGATGCCCCTAGTGTCCTATAGTGGGGGCTTAGAGCACCCGATGCCCCTAGTGTCCTATAGTGGAGGCTTAGAGCACTCGATGTCCCTAGTGTTTTATAGTGGGGGCTGAAAACACCCGATGCTCCTAGTTTTTTATAGTGGGGGCTTAGAACACCTGATGCCCCTAGTGTTTTATAGTGGGGGCTTAGAGCACCCGATGCCCCTAGTGTCCTATAGTGGGGCTTAGAGCACCCGATGTCCCTAGTGTTTTATAGTGGGGGCTGAAAACACCCGATGCTCCTAGTTTTTTATAGTGGGGGCTTAGAACACCTGATGCCCCTAGTGTTTTATAGTGGGGGCTTAAATAATAGGGGCTTAGAACACCCGATGCCCCTAGTATCCTGTACTGGGATTGTTTGTTACAAACTGGACTTCAGGGGGCCTCGGGTTCGATAGCTGGTTTCTTAGAAAAATCAAGATTTCATTTAGTAAGGGGTCTCACTGTTTAGATAGGTATGTTAGAGAAGGGACAAACACAGTAACCGATCACTTAATACGTTAAACGCCATGGGGGTCATCAGTAACCGGCGTTAGCGGAGGATTTGCCTTCAACAGATTTTTATTGGCAGTCAAAGTCTTAATAGCAGATTTTCGTAATCGTAATTGTAAAATCTTACCTGTGCACAATACTCAATACCAGCCGACATTATCCCAGTAGGCACAGTAATGAACAGCAAATATATGGAGCCGATAGCGTAAGAATAGAATACTACTTCGTTGTTAGATGCGTGATGTTGTTTCATCGCCTTCTCTTGTACGTTCCCGATGATAGCGTCGCATAGTAACGCTAGTGATATCACTATTACACCTACAAAGTTGAACTTTGGCGATGTTTGGGAGTCCGCTGTAATCAATATTAATATTAGACAATTAGATTAAATTAACTATGTTAACTAAGACTAAAATACTGACTGACAACGGAAAGCCTTTAATTAACGTGGGCAAAAGACTCTCTCTACTGTAAAAAAATGGATTCTTAAAATTCCTTTAAATATATAAAAACAGGACGGTTTCTTCGCATTTAAAGTAAAATTTTAGTAAATATAGCCTTTCCGATACCTAGAATTCAATAAAAATAAAAGGGAACAGTGAATTTATATTTTAATTGGATAAACATTTTAAATGGTTATCATAGGTTGTTGTTTAATTTACATAACTCACATAGGTACATAGGTATTTTTAGTTTGCTAAGTATATAAAAATTAAGAGTAATTTTTGTTTTGCTGTTATTTCAATATTATAAACTGACACTAATTTTATTTATCTGTATAGATTACATTACTGACTGCATGGTTGGTGCAGTGGCAGGAAAACCGGATGCCGTGCAACGTGTCGCGGGTTCAATTACCGCACGGAACAACAGTTTGTGTGATCCACAAATTGTTGTTTCGGGTCTGCGTATCATTGTAAACGCACATACGACACAGGAAAAAATCTTAACGGGCAATGTTTTTTTAAAAGAAAAAAAAAATATTAATTTTGGTACAAAGTCTGCTAGGAGAACCAGTTAGTACAAAATATTCCTTACCCAAAGTGAACATAGTCAGGCCAATACACATGACCACAGCAGACACATAATCCAGAAACCCGTACCGTTTGCCCATTATAATAATACTGCCAATCATCACAGGTATTAGTTTGCAGCTCTTGAAGATCAGCTGCGTCGGGTAGTTTAGATAGCTCAGGGCAAGGTTTGAAAATGCCATGGTACCGAGGGTCAATCCTGCTAGTAGTGCATAGGTTTTCAGTGGTACCCTGAAATATGATATAATTTAATAAGTTCATAAAGAACAGAAAACTTAACTTATATAACATTATTTTAAAGAATAATAAATTTTAATATCCTGTTTAGATCAAAGTACTCAATTAATTCGAATCTGCTTTTAACTCTTCAACTAAGAGGTAATAAAACGTTTATTCACTTTTCAATATAAAGTAACAACAAGAAAACAGTACTTACTTCCGTTTTATACGACTCCTTATCAACGATTCAACATAACTCAATGCAGTCGTTATTAAAAATTGAACTAGAGTTATGTAGAAGCTGACTTCTGAATTTGCAAATAACAATTCGAGGAAATATCCATATGCTAAGTAAAATATGAATACGAAGAGTAGACAGAACATGAATTGCACTATGAAGCTGAATGGTTTTAAGTCAAGGCATAGTATGTTGATGTCTGCTTGTTCTATTCTCTCAGTGTGTTTTGTTGTGCCCGGCACATCTATGCGAATAATTGCGTCCTTCGGTTGATTCATTGTCGCTACGTCTGTTTGCGTCAGTGGTTCTTCTTCATATTTTTCTAAAAGTTTAGAAGAATTTTTCTGGAAATAGACATTATTGGACTTTTAGTTTTAATGACATAAAAGGGCCAGTTTCGTAATGCATAAAGTTTTTGTTAGCTTTTTCATTGAATGTTGCCCCACACTAACAATTTTTCATGTGTAGTGGGTGCGTTTACAAACATACAAGTTCACATACACATGACACAAAATTCGAAACAAAAATTTGTGGATCATACAGAGAGTTGCTCCGTGTCCGCGCCAAGTGTACAGTCAAAATAATTTAAGCCAATAGCAAATTACTCAAGCATTACGAAATAGACCAAAAAAAATTTAACATAAGTATTATGTTCCCAATTTGTTCCTTTTAAATTAGAAAAGATACTAAAATTCTCTTAGATATAGCTATGGTAAATTAATTATAAAAATCATATTTAAGTTACGAAATTATACAATTATTTAGACTGTTACAAGAAAAGTACTAGTCTAATCTAATTAAATATATATTATTAAGATTATATCAGTAGATTAACAAGACTCTAAATATATCAGCAAGTGCTGTTTGCATAACTGTAGCAAGAACAATTTCATCTATTGTCAGTTTAAATGTAAACACAAGTGTGACCAATAGTTGACTAAACAAACCCACTTAGTTAACTAACAGATAAACAGCCACCAATGACAATAGTCTACATTTTTAATTTATCAGCGATTCAGATTGCGAGATAAATAAACCTTTTTAGATCATATTTTGGATAATAATTATGATCTAATTAAAGCTATTTTTACATTGAAAATGTGGTTTAAGTTAGTGTTTTGAATTTTCCATCATCACTACATAGTATAAAACAAAGTCGCTATCAGCCATCTGTCTGTCCCTATGTATCCTTAGATCTTTAAAACTACGCAACGGATTTTGATGCGGTTTTTTTTAATAGATAGAGTGATTCTTAACTCGTCGAGTACCGTATTTATAGACACAATTAAAGAACAATAGGTTGCGGTCACCGGTGACCGCTTAGTGTTTGACAGTTTAACTCGTCGAGTACCGGTTTTATAGACACAATTAAAGAACAATAGGTTGCGGTCACCGGTGACCGCTTGGTGTTTGACAGTTTAAGAAAGGTTTATATGTATAATACATGCATATTGCACCCGTGCGAAGCCAGCATGGGTCGCTAATTTACAATATATTTACTAATATTCTTTTTTAATATTTAAAAGGTTAATATTCTTCTTTCTTCTTGTTTTAATTAAATTTAAATTAGCCATCACTATCAATCTAGATAACAGAATTGAATCCTCTACTTTATTTGAAAAGATCAACTTTTTGGTGCAAGTACTTATTTTTAATTGATTTAAACGTCTTCTTGAGTACTCTTATTGTATGATAGTAGTTATTAAAACTGTAGATTTACTGTAAAATACAGACAAAATGCATTAGTTTGGTATCGGGTAATTTATTAGAAGTATCTAAAAAAGTATAATAAGTTACCTACCGTGAGGTAGTGAAGATACTTCACTTAAAACACTGGACATCATAACAGTATAAATTGCAATTGCAAATTATTTGTACAGACAGCCAATCCTCCAATACCACGACAACAAATATGACGACAACTTTTGTGAAACCGAACGTACGCGAATGAAAACATACGATTAGGAAAAATGTCACATCGACATTTCATTTGACTTTGACAAACTTATTTTAACTTATACGTCAAAAGCGATATGCATGACAGTTTCCAACATTCCGTTACACGTGTATTATCAAAAGTAATGTAATATTACGGAGATCCGGCCAAGGACGTTGAAAAATGGCCGGTCACAGTCTCTTGAAACAACGACTGTGGCACTTGGTTAGACTTAGACACATTGACACGAAGGAAACTGTCATCATGGTAACCCATTACACACGGACACATAAATAACACACTACTTGGTGCTTTACACTTTACACAGACATTATGTCCGCATTATTTGTAAAAATGGCAAAATTTTGAACAATATTGGTCTAGGTATTTTAAAATACATTTTGACAGTTAGTTTTATTAGTGAGAAACTGGGTACAGCAGGTGCAGGGCAGACGTGCAACCAACGGACGAGAACATAAAGCAGAGAAACTTTTATTATGTATGTTACTTAGTTCTGTCATTTGCGTCCGGGAAACTTTTACAAATGAGAGAAATTACAAGTAAGTAGGTAATTATGTATGTACATACATTACAACTATTCTATTTTGACTTTACAGTTGGCATAGTAGCAGGATGACTGCCTGTTGTGTGTGTCGTAGGTTTTATTCCCACGTCCGACAAAAAGTATTAATAGCATTTTTTTAAGTAAAATTAGTATTATTATCCTAGAGTCAGGAAGTTCGGTGGTGTTTCCACCTCCGTGCCTCAGAAACCACGTAAAGCCGGAGGTCCTACCGCAAGATCAGGACCACTCGACCAGAGAGAGATCAGTCGCACGAATGCTGCGCCTGATGGCCTCACCATGCTTGTGCACTATGATATCTCCTGTATAGTGGGCTAGTCTAATTAGTCTTGCACTATGATCAAAATCATGAGAATTTATTTTTATCCATTACCTTTTGAATGTACTAAAATGACCAAAGACGTTGAAATTGACCCAATCTTTCAATATTTCCTATAGGCAATATATATTTAGGTTTTGTAACTATTCTTACTATCTGATAGATGATTCGTTAACGTTATTTTACCATTTTTGGACTAAAAAATCAAATCTTCATAGTTATTCAGATATTCTTTTTTATTGTAAATATTATTCTTTACGTATAAAATATATTCTTCCCTCATTCCTTAAAACATAATTCTATCAAGAATTATCACACTAATATTATAAATGTGAAAGTGTCTTTGTCCATCAATCACGCTGAAACTGCTGAACGGAGAACGGAATTTGATGTTTGGTATACAGTATGAACTGACTTAGGTGATAGGACATTTTATCCCGCTTAAATTCTCCCAGTTAAAACCACGACTCATTTTCCACGCGGACGAAGTCGCGGATAACAGCTAGGTATAACATAAGACAGTGACTCAATTTTATGAGTCCCTCTCTTTCTCTTAAAAGATTCCATGGTAATGGTTCGGAAAACTCATAAATAACCAAAAAGGGATTTTTCACCGATTGATCATTGAATATGAAAATTATACAAAAAAGAACAGTAAGAAATAACGTAAATAACGTTCATTCATTAGGTACCTATTTACATTTTCATAAATAATTCATGAAGAAAATTATCACCGGTCACTAGTTAAAAAATAGTTAAAAACCGTCCCAAAACCTTGTTCTGTTTAGTTATTACCAATCTACCATCCATTTCCGGTTTATTTTTTGCTCAGCTGTTCAATTAAAACCATACTTGGTAGATTTCGTGTTACATAGCTCTGGCTACACTCAATTGCTGTGGCTGTCTGGTTGTCAAACAAAGAGAAAATATATATTTTTTCCTTTAAATCTATTGTATTTTGTGCTGTCTGATAGTTTTACACGTTAAGGTGTGTATTTTTATTAACGCTTTATACATGCGTTGGTGGTGTGTTGTTGATTGACGCCATAATCGTGTGACAACTTTCGCAGATCGCATAATCAACCAGGCAAACTGGATTGAAGAAAATGATGGATTCGGACTCGTCCGGCGCGGACTTCTGCCGGTTCTGTCGTTCAGAGGCTTCGTCTGACAGACCGCTGTTCCACCCGTGTATCTGCACAGGCTCCATAAAATGGATTCATCAAGAATGTTTAGTGCAGTGGATGCGATACTCCAGGAAAGAGATTTGCGAGCTATGTGGCCACCGATTTTCTTTTATGCCGATATATTCACCGGATATGCCTCGCAGGCTACCTATCCGCGACGTGGTGGGCGGGCTGGTGACTTCCGTGGCATCCGCCGTGAAGGACTGGCTGCACTACACGCTAGTAGCGCTCGCTTGGCTTGGCATCGTGCCGCTCACCGCCTGCAGGACCTACCGCTGTCTGTTCTCGGGCTCCTTGGACCCAGTCATTTCATTGCCCTTTGACATAGTATCTGCTGAAAACCTTGCTAAAGATGTCTTCTCTGGATGTTTTGTTGTAACATGTACACTGTTCTCTTTTATTGGCCTTGTTTGGCTGAGAGAGCAGATCATGCATGGTGGTGGTCCAGACTGGATGGAAAGAGAGAACCTGCCAGCTCCACCCCCTGAAGACCTTCCTCTGCAAGACAATAACAATGATAGAGTGAATAATGGAGCAGGGGATGGTGAAGTTGGTATAAGAGATGAAGTTAATGCTGAAGTTGGAGAGGATCCCTTGGGTGCAGATGAAGCAAACTGGAACCCAATGGAATGGGATCGTGCAGCTGCTGAGGAGCTAACATGGGCCCGTTTGCTTGGCTTGGATGGTTCCATGGTGTTTTTAGAACATGTATTTTGGGTAGTGTCCCTGAATACATTGTTTATAGTGGTGTTTGCATTCTGCCCGTATCATATTGGAAGGTTGGGAGCTGCTATGGCAGGGCTGACAGCTGAGGGTCCATTTGCTGGGCCATTGACAGCTCTAGCAGGGTATGTGTTGGTGGGGGCTATACTGGCAGTGTTACATGGCATGGCGTCCCTGCTGCGCCTGCGGAGTGCTAAGAAGGCACTGGGATTCTGTTATGTAGTTGTGAAGGTGGCCCTGCTGTCTGTTGTTGAGGTGAGTACATTGTTTTACATATTATTATCTATATCTTACTCATCACTTACCTGAATGATTTCCATGTCAAACTACAATCCAATGATTTATGCAAAACTTTGGATGTAGATCAATGCCAAAAATTCTATAATATTATTAAAAGCAGATAATCTTGTACATCACGAAAGAAAACTTGTTTCACAACTTGTATGTGTTTACATAATTTTTAGCTCATTTGCCTTACTCAAGTGGACACTTTTTAAAATATTTCCTTATCTAATAATAATTATATTTTCGGCTTACTCACGTAACTGTTTGTTGAGGAACCTGACTAGTTTCAAGCCATGTTTATGGGCAGCATTCCATGAAAACATAATAATTACTTTAGTATGTCTCACGAAAGTTTTTAATATTTCCTGATCTGTTATGAGTGCATGTGTACTTATCTGATATGAACTTGAGGGCAGTAGTAATCAGTCATTACCCTTTTTATAAGACAGTTATATCTTTAGATATGAGTGAAATTAAAAATCATGATCATGTTTGTGATACAATAGTGATGAAATTAATTTATTAGGTATAGGTATGTAAGATTTTATAAACATATTTCAAAATGGTATAGGTTTTTCCAATGTGTTTGTTGGTTGGTAACACTTTTATGACTAAACAGCTGAATCAAATTGGATGAATTATGAGACAGAGATAGATGGAGCAATGGAAGTGGTGTCAGGCTACTTTGTTAGGGAAATTGTTGAGCTTAGTTACAAAAACATGTGAAAAATTGTTTTCAATATTTTTTGAAAATACAATACCACAGAATTCCTTTCTAATTGGATATGACTGATGAGTTATTTATGCTTATTATCTTAAACTAATGAGCATTTCACATTACATTCATTATCATTACACCTGTCTCCCATATTGGGGTAGACAGAGATAGTGGATTTGTTACTAACCAGATAATTTAAATAAATTCCTTTAGTCTTACTTAATTTACGACTCCATTAACTAATTAGAATTATGATTAACACAAAACAATAAAAATTTAATATTGTAAGCAGTTATGGTAATGAACTTGTCTGACTTAAATAAATGTTTATTCATAAGACAGTGGTTGTAAGTAATAAAATAATGAATGTTTATTGATAAATTACTTTCTTTTTTTTTGTCTGGAATTCTACTCAAAGTGATTACTGATTAGTAGTGATGAGAATGACAAAAAGACAAAGAAGAAAGTCGAAATCAGCATTTATTTCAATTATTCCTTAATTAGGCACTTTTGAAACGTCAAATTGAATTGAATTGTAAGTCAGTTTATCTGTCAGTGAAGCTAGGTGCTTGGTAGGTAGATAGATGACTACAGATGTGTAATTATAAACTCAGTTTTCCTCACAATGTTTTCTTTTACCATTTGTTAGTGGTGTCTAAATAATCTTAGAAAGTAAACCCAGAGAAGCCGTTTGTAGGTTTCGAACTCACACTCTCATGCTATGAGAAGCAGTTGTATTAACCTCCGGGCCACATATATGTTGTATATGTTACCGGCCAAACCCGATTTCAGGACAAACTAGTTTTGCCTAGGCTAAACTAGTTCTTCCTATACGCGTTAGGATTAACTAGTATAGCAAACAAACTAATTTGTCCTAAGCCCGATAGGATAAACTAGTTTAGGCTAGGACAGACTAGTTGATCCTGATATAAATACGCACACTCTAGGATAGACTGGTATGGCCTAGTCTAAACATTCTAATATATCTAGAACGTCAAAATCAATAGATAAATTTAATAAAATACTCCGTAATTGAAAAAATAATCATTTTTATTAAACCATAATGATTCATCGTTAAAACTTATGGTTAATTGGTAATACGAACAATCATACTATTTTAGGGAACAGAGAGTATAGTTCCCTAAGATCGGAAAAGGAGGATCCTCCGACCAGGCGAGGTGATCATGCCTGGCGGGCTTTCTGCCCAACAGTTGTTCGTTGGGATTTTCTATCCGTGTTTATTCGCTTGTAAACTTTGCATGTGCGATGTACGATTCTTGTGACGTCATCCGTTGACATGTGGCATGTGTCGCCACATCACTCCCTCCCAAGACCGGAGGTCGATCCCGCTGAGACGGCTGTCGATGCTTGAGATGAGCGGTGCCAGAGCCAGTGTAGAAAGTCCCTAGTTCCAGTGAGTCGGAACTGTGCCGCTGAGTGCCCAGTGAGTCGGGTGAGCGGTGCAGGGTTAAACTCCAGTGAGTCGGAGAGATGAGTTCGCAGTGTCCCACGGTGAGTCGGGGAAGAGATGCTGCGAGGGTAGGTGCGTAGTGGCTGGCGTCTGCGTTGACGGGAGGAGGTGTCCTTCAGACCGTGTGCAGAAGTGCTGTGCCTAGACGCTGGTGAGGCCGTAGGGAAGAACCAGGCTGCAAGACTTCGTTGCAGGCGATGGTGGTCCCTGATGAGGCCGAGGATGCTGGTTGGCTGCGACTTGATTACCGCTCAGCGGAGAAATGATGAATGAGAGGGATGGCGATACGGATGATGGTGCTGATCTGCTCCGTTAAGTGAAGGTTGCTTCCAATCACGTCGGGGTCACCACTTTAGGGAACAGAGAGTATAGTTCCCTAAGATCGGAAAAGGAGGATCCTCCGACCAGGCGAGGTGATCATGCCTGGCGGGCTTTCTGCCCAACAGTTGTTCGTTGGGATTTTCTATCCGTGTTTATTCGCTTGTAAACTTTGCATGTGCGATGTAGGATTCTTGTGACGTCATCCGTTGACATGTGGCATGTGTCGCCACACTATAACAAATAATAAGTGTTTTTTGAGAGAAGCAACAATTATTTAAATTGTTATTAATTTAAAATCATAATGATTCGTCGCTACAAGTTATAGATAATAATTGGCAATACAAACAATCATACTATAACAAATAATACTGTTTTTATCACATAAAATCACGCCTTTTATCCCCGAAGGCACATTATGCCACTGTACAATGTATCACCCACTTTTCACTATTTATGTTACGAGTCCCATGTAATAGGGGGTGAACCTATTGCCATATACCGTGCACATTTCCAGACTCCATGCTACTACTGAGATTTTAAATCCTAGTAATACTTTGCCCGACCCGAGAATCGAACCCGAGACCCCGTGCCTGGCAGTCACACTTGCGACCACTCGGTCAATGAGGCAGTCACACTGTTTTTTTAATAGACGCAATAATCATATTATGACTAGGCCATACCAGTCTATCCTAGAGTGTGCGTATTTATATCAGGATCAACTAGTTTGTCCTAGCCTAAACTAGTTTATCCTATCGGGCTTAGGACAAATTAGTTTGTACTAGGCTATACTAGTTAATCCTAACGCGTATAGGAAGAACTAGTTTAGCCTAGGCAAAACTAGTTTGTCCTGAAATCGGGTTTGGCCGGTAACATATATAATATGTTAATTGCCTGTAACTGTGAAACCTGTGTCAGCCTTTAAAATAGGTCTATTAAGTATTCTAGGTCTATTAAAAAAAAACAACTGAACAAAATTACTTGTGTTAATTCAAATTAGTCAATGCACTCAAGTTCAATATTTAGATTTGTTCCGCAAGTCTTTAGATAGAGGACAATGACTTCCCTAACCTTATAATGAGTCATTGCCACTTAAATTGTTAGGTTTTTATACTTATTTGATAATAATATGTGTCATGAGAAGCAAACATGTTGAAATATATATGCTAATATTTCAATAAGACGCATTCAGAACAATATGTGTCGATCCAAAGTTAGATTTGTTGAGGTTGAGATATTTCAGCTTTGTAAAAATTCTCAGTAGTAGGACTGGTATGGTTTTCGACAGGTGTAGAATCAGTCGTATCAGTCCCATTCCCTATTAATTAGTTAGGTCTTATAACTGATGACATCTAGACCGACATCTACACCTGTACCTTCACCTTTTTTAGAATAAAAAGGCAATATGTTATGTTTAAGTATAAAATGTATTTTGCATCAAATATGAAGTGGTTACTGAGAAATATTAATTTAATCAATGATTTATTTAGATTTATTGTTTTCGTACTGCCTCGTGTTGGATTCCCTCAGGAAAATCTCAGTAGTATGAGCACGGAGTCTGGAATGGTGCCCCGTATATGGTAATAGGTTCACCCCCTGTTATGTACATGGGACTCATAAAATAAATAGTGAAAAGTGGGTGTTACATTGTACAGTGGCATTAAGTGCCGTAGTGTGCACCACTGCCTACCACTTCGGGAATAAAAGGCGTAATGTTATTATTGTTTTCATACTCTGGCCATCATATCATTTCTGCTCCATATATTTATGGCAATCGCATCACCCTTTATTACTGTTTACACAGGCGCTATTAATCACGCTATTATTTTCCAGATTGGTGTGATACCTTTAGTATGTGGCTGGTGGCTGGATCTCTGTTCCCTATCAATGTTCGACGCTACGCTCAAGGACAGAGAGTCGAGTTTGCAAGCAGCCCCATGGACGCTCATGTTCATACATTGGTTAGTCGGAATGGTCTACGTGTACTATTTCGCGTCCTTCATTCTCTTGCTGAGAGAAGTACTAAGACCTGGTGTACTGTGGTTCTTGAAGAACTTGAATGATCCCGATTTCAGTCCTGTGCAGGTTTGTTTCCTATTTTCTGTATAATTTTGTTCTCTATTAGAATTAAATGAGATTTGTATACTATACTGAAAAAAGACTATACTGACGGCACGGTTTGTGCAGTGGCGGGAAAACCATCTGCTGCGCAACCGTGTATCGCTGGTTAGTTTCCCACACTGTTCAATGTGTTTGTGAACGCACCCACGGCATAAGAGAAAACTCTACTGATGAGTGGTCGCCAGTGTACCGTTCGAACAAGAAACATCTTCAAATAGCAGTTATGATTCTAATATGCTAAGCAACTACTGAACGTAAACCAATATTAACCATCGAATACGGTAGATGCCTAATTTTTATTTTAATGTCCGTCTGGTAGATTATTTTAAATTATTAGACACGTATTTTTTATTTTCTTACAGAAACGAATACTTTCGACGATATATTGATTTGAAATGTCGTCGTGACGTCACTTCTATGTACATTTTATACGTAGAAATGACGTTTTAGCCCCCACTCCTAAACTTTGATTCGTTTTATCTAAGTATTGTTTTATTGTACGACAAAATAAAAAAAATACGTGTCTAATATTTTTAATTACCCAACTTACGGACTGATTAGATTTTTAATTTTCATACCCTGTCATCATCCCAATTCATTCCAGGAAATGATCCATTTATCAGTGTGGTCTCACATTCGTCGGCTGGTGGTGTCTGCCATGATCTTCGGTACGGCTGTCCTATTCATGCTCTGGCTACCAATCAGGGTGATCAAGTATGTGTTGCCCGGGTTCCTGCCATATGCTGTAGCAGTCCACTCCGATGCCCCGGTCAATGAACTCAGCTTGGAGCTGCTGTTGCTACAGGTGAATTAATTTTTTTTTATGTTATGTTGGGTAATTTTATAACTGTCTCGTTGGTCCAATGGGCGTGTCTGTTGAGCATAAAGTTTTGAACTTGAACCGAAGATGGTTCAATTAGTATGTTAAAAATTTTTAGAATGATTTTTCGATGTAACAATTTAGAAATTCTTAGTATCTTTTATAGGGAACATCTTATTCATTAACCAAAGAAATCCTCAGTTTAGAATGAGCAAATATCTTGGGAAACTGATCACCAGACAGAGGTCTTAGTACGTTTTACGTTTAATGAGATCGAAACGAGACAGCGTCCGGCACTCTGATTGGCCTGCTCCGATGAACCCACCAATCAGAGCGCCAAACCCTTTATTCTTAGCAACTGGACACGATTACTTCTAAACCGTTAGAATTGCATGTTTGGGAGTGAAATTGGCTGTATTAATAGGGGTGTGTGAGTAAGTGTAAGTGAGTGAGTTTGAGTTTGTGTGAGTGTGAGTGTGTGTGTGTCAGTGAGTGAATGTGTATGAGTGTGTGTGTGTAAAAGTAGAGTGTACACGGTAGTATCATATTTATTTTATAATTTATTCTCATTCTGTTACGTCTGGACTTATGGGTCTTGTGGTCAATGGTTGGCATAGGCTTGATTCTTAATTATATTTAGGGACAGCATAAAGGAAACAAGTTTTTGAAATATTTCTATAATTTGTTTAATTTATAATACAGACAATGACACTTTAATTAAACAGTTTAGTCATCAAAATTTTATTAAGTATTTTTAAATACAATAGCTATGTTAATGAGAAAGAGTTGATTGTATGTAGCTCCATGATTGGATAGCGGTACTGTTGAGATCGATGTCCCTAAGTTCTTTTCCCGAATGCGGCAATTAATTATGATAATTAGGTAAATCGTGCTTCTCAGAATCATTTTTTTGAGGGGGGAAAATCACCCAATGATTTCTCCCACCTTATGTAAGGTGAGGGGGAGTGTCTAACTCTTAGTGACTAAAAACCCCGTTCCTACTTTTGCTTCGAAGTCTCCTCTCCTCTCGAATTTGTGCGTCTGTGCCCTAAAACTACTATCACTGTCCTGATTGACTTGTTCATGTTTAATAATCAAACTTTTTCATACAAAAGTAAGTAAGTCTCTAAACGTCGGAAATGTCGCGGAGACCCTAACGGGTTACCAGGGCTCCGGCTCGAAGCGCAGGAGTAGGAGCGGAGTAGTTTTTAGTCAGTAAGAGTCTGACACTCCCTGAACTCCCTCCCGCCTTACCCAGGCGCTAGCAGTCATTCGATGATTTTCCCCCCTTAAAAAATACGTCGGAAATAAGTTCTATAATGGAGTGGGTGAGAGAGGACACCGATGTCCTCTTAAACTGTCAAACACCAAGCGGTCACCGGTGACCGCGACCTATTGTTCTTTAATTGTGTCTATAAAACCGGTACTCGACGAGTTAAGAATTGAAAGGTGAGGTACTTTTGTTCAGCAGCCTTTGTACGCCCATGCGGATGTTGAATAAAATAATGCCTACTTATACTTTGAACTACATCAGTTATATTATACACATATTGTGAACATTAAGCTAACTCATTCAGAAAAGCATTCCGTCTCTCTAATGTTCATTCAAAAGACAGAGATAGCATACAATAAGGTCGGAATGATCATTATAATAATAATTAGCGATGTATGCGCGTCATCTAATTGCGTATTCTTTTTTTATTTGTTTGTATGTTGACCGGTAGTAGAATAAAATTTGCGAAAAGTGGGTGGTAAAATTGTACACCTTTTCTGTAAATATAAGACGTGTTTTCAGCGACTAAAGATCCTGAAATTGTAATTAACATCATGAATACCGACACATTGTTTGGCAGTCACATTTCCAACCACTCGATTAACGGGACAGAATAAGGAATCTTATAACACAAACACGCGAAAGACTGGAATTTAGAAAACTCTAATTTTTGCACAGGGTGTTGTAATCTTAATATATGTACGCTGAGGATCCCGTGGGTCAAAGCTACAGTAAAAATATTGAATGTCAATTAGTCCAAGGAGGCACTTTTGAACGTCAAATAACATACAGTCTCTACTGAAACGTCACTCAATTTTAAGTCGTGCTTAAATATCGTGCCATCTCTGTCATTTTACAAAGAATTAGTGGTGATAGAACGATACATTAGCGATTACATGAGCGCGTCTTAAAATTGAGTAACGTTTCAGTATTCCTACATTAGTCTATCAGTCATTCCTCTAGTGAAGCTATTTGCTCGTTCTAAAGTAGATTTATATATAAAAGAACGAATATGAAACACCATAATCTGAAATTCTAGTATCAAAATAAATTCTAGTATCGAAACTGAATACTGAAACTTCATGTTCAATGGTCGTTTTCATAGCCATCATTTACCAAAGAGGCAGTTAATAATAGAATTCATTATGCAATTATAAAACAATTCATTCAACCAACTAGGTATTGACAGGCTATTGGTTTCCTCAATTGGGTACTTGCCATCTAGTCAAATTCAATGCTTTTTTCGAAATGCCAAAAACGACAGTTTTCTATGAATTTTGTAGGAGATCGTGTATTGTGACGTAACTTTTTTTTAGCGTGAAACAATTACATACATATTTCTTAACAATTTTGTATAAAAATACAAAAATTAAGTTGGTCATAAAATCCATTATTGTATTGAATTGAACAGTCGAAATAGTTTATTTTTGATTTAAGAAAGTACCCAATTAATCAATAATTATTTGTATAAAGGAAAGCGTTGCCGACGTATGTAAAACAGGTTGTTGTTCGGCGCTACTACAAACTACATGTAGTTGTCACATATTAGCATAATGTTTACTTATTAATACATTATAGTACTTTGTATTCTACTCGTGTTTTAATGTGATTTAATTATAGTGTCTTAGTTACACTACTATAAGTGCCAGATTTGCAAATCAGATCGTCTAGTTTGATTGTAGGTACATCTAATGAATGTAGTCAGTAGTCACTATTTAAAATGGCTACTAGTTAAGTTATGAGGTCTAATAATTACCGCTTTTTTGCAACTTTATTGACGTCATATCTTTTGGTTGTTTGACGTGTCGAATGTTGCCATAATTGTATAGTATTTTTCTACTAAAATTTTTGCGCTTGGTAGGTGGCGCTAGTGTCCCTTAAGGTCTCGTTCATTTAATCCATCCACTGCGTAGTCAGAAGAATACTTTGAGCTTGTTTAGAATATTATGAACAGCAAACTAAATAGTTACTCAAGTCGATATAGAGAAGATAACCAATAGCTTGTCAATTTATTTATTTATCACCTTTATTTTAAGTAAACTTCAGACCAAATTGTATTGGTATCTTACATGACTTACAGTTGGATGTACCACATTTGGTAAGTACATTCTTTATGTATTTTCCTGTCTTTAATTTTCTTAAAGATCGGCCCTGTCCTGATCAGTCATCTCCAAATAATGAAAACGTTTTTGATAGATTTATTTATAGCCAGTCTTTTTCGCGTTTATACTGTGTAACATACATTTTCTGTGGATTAAATAACAGAATCACAATACACAGTGTGATAATAATCTGTGGAGTATTCCATTGAAATGTTTGGTTGCAGCTATTTTTTTAGATGTGTTGTTGTGTATATTAGGATACGGGAATTGAGTGTTATATAAGACTCTTTGCCAAATTCTACAAAATCGGGGAGGGTGACAACCGTGAAATAGTCGCCTAAAAGCGATGACGTCCAAATCGCCTAAATAAGTACCTATGCATATTCCAATGTTGTGCAAAAACCGACATTTTCACTTTACAAAATATCCAATTTTTTTTATGGGATGAGCCGGTAAACGAGCAGACGGATCCCTTGATGGTAAGCAATCGGCGTCACCGATGGACACCAGGAACACTGAAGGCGTTACTGGCCTTTTGGGGATTAGGAATATGAGGATTGTTGGAGATTGAGGGATTGGGGAAGGAGGGGGGGGGGGTAATAGGGCCTGCCTCCGGTAACCTCACTCACACGACGAAACACAACACTAATGTTGTTTCACGTCAGTTTTCTGTGAGGCCGTGGTATCACTCCGGTCGAGCCGGCCCATTCGTGCCGAAGCATGGCGCTCCCACACTCAAAGGTTAAGGATTGGGAAAAGGTTGACACAAGTTAATATTATTTGTTCACAGGTGATTCTCCCAGCCTTGTTGGAGCAGTCTCACACTCGCACGTGGTTGAAGGCAGGCGTGCGAGCGTGGTGCGCATGCGCGGCCGGTGTACTAGGGCTCCGCTCCTATTTGTTAGGAGAGATGCGAAACGACCAGCCCATGCCTCATCCGCCACGACCACCTCATCAACTTGGAGCTGCTCATCAGGTATTTTCTTTGCTTAATTAGCCAATAGAACTATTCTTTTGAAAATTTATTTTTTGAACTTGGTCTAAAGTTTTGAAAGAAAGAAGAAAGAAAAAACATTTATTTAGCACCAGGCACGATGCAGCATAAATAATATATAAAAAAGACAATCAAGGTGTGACAGTGAAAGTAATAAAAATATAAGAGTTGAAAAATTAAAACAGAAGAATTAGAAAAGAGACGCTGACAACATGCCTATGCTAAAAGGGTTTTGCTTTTATGTTGAGAGTTGTCGTTACAATATTTTCGAACTAGAGTGTCTGGCAACGTTTTTACAACAAGTTTTTACAAGTTTGACTTTTTATAAAGAATTATACTTTTTTTTTATTCAAATAAGGTTTAACGTTTGAGAACAAATAAATAACAAAACAACCGACCGAATATTTTTTTGAATACCAACCTCGATAATCATATCAACGTATTTATAAAAGAAAGGAGAATTTACTCTATAAATGAAGATCTGAAGCACTAATATATAATTTTATTGTATTTGTTCCAGGCATTGATGCGTCGCGACGGCCCAGCTGGTTTCGAACCTTACGTCCGCGTATCATGGTTCCCACTCCGACTGGGTGCTTTGTTGGTCTTGGTCTCTATGTCTCTCGTCATGGCCAGCGCTCTTACCTTGGTAAGATTTGTATTCATGTCACTAAGATTTGACTGCATGTGTGGTGGTGGGTCGAAACTAGTCGAGACTTGAACTGTTAAAGATCGCGGAGTTTCGTTGAAAAATATTTCTTTTTGTGTTGAATTTAAGGGAGTGGTATACCATTTTGGAATACTTATTAATTGCGCCAATCTTGGTGAAACTTGCCCCAACTAGTTTAGTAATTATTTTCTTTCAGTAGTCACTTGAAGTAAATTTAATGTAAGCCAAAATGTAAATGAAAAAATAAAGAATTTTAGCAGCACGACTCAAAATACTTGCACAGGGTGTACTTTTTCGTGTGTAACACATAAGCCATTGTAATTTAAAAACTATATGATTTGATTTTTTTTATATGTTTTTAATAACTGTGCCGTTCACCTGGTGCCATTTGATCGTCGACTTCATAGTCTGTATTTTAATTTAACAAATAAATCGGTAGATTGTTACGAAATAAAATAGAAAACGAACATGATTCAATGCATTGTTATTGTATTTCATACAGTAATTTTAAAATTCATTTGTTTTTTTGTAGGTGATTCCTGTCGCTATTGGAAGGCGGGTGATGGCTTTGTGGCTTCCGAAGGCGTCGGATGGAGTTCACGAATTGTATACAGCGGCTTGTGGTACGTATTGAAGCTTCGTAAATGTAGCTTTGATTTCACTTTTCTATGAAATTGGTGTTCTGATTGAAGGAAATGAAAGAATTGAAACAAATATGCTGTATTTTCCATGTAGTCGTTAGTGTATTTTTTAGTGTCATTGCGTTATAAGTTCACCAAGAAGAATATATCTTATTTATTTTATTGTATGGCATAAACATAGCATGGTATGGTAATAAAAGAGCAAATGTATCAGACGTATATTAAGTACGCTGTTGGCCTTTTAGAGATGTATTGGCCGTTAGGGATAGAGGAGAAAATTGGGTATATGGTCACCTTATACTCAGTTTTTTTTGTAATTCCTAGCGGTAAGACCGCGCATTTTATAAGATTTAATTTACCTTCTGGAGTATATTGTACAATAAATTATTTGTATTGCATTCTAATCAAGTAATCAAGTATTTATTGCATCCATAATGTATATATACAGGTGGTTAGAAAATATAATTATGTAAAAAAGTAACAATTATGGACCCTGTTGGGCACAGCAACATTTAAAATTGGTAGGAGAGAGGAAGGGCACTTTGTTAGATTAATATTAATATACCTAATAAAAAAGTTATTGTAAATCCTGTATTAAATTTTATTTAGTTTAGTTAGTATAGTGTAGTTAGTATTAGGTACTTGTTCTTAACAGACTTCCTACAAAGGAGGTTCTTATTTATTTTTATGTGATAGGCCGAGCACTTAGATCACTTAATGGTAAGCAATCGGCGTCGTCCATGGACACCTGAAACATCAGAGGCATTACAAGTGCGTTACCGGGTTTTTGGTGATTAGAAATTTGAGGATTGTTGGGATTCAGGGATTGGGGAGATTGGGGGGGGGGGGTCTAATTGGGACTCTGGTAACCTCACTCGCACAACGTAAGCGTTATTTCATGTCGGCTTTTTACTCGGCTGTGGTATCAGTCCGGTGTAACAGGCCCATTGGTGGCGAAGCATATTAGAGCAGTAGTGGTTGTGCAGGCATGTACGTGTGCTGGGCGGCGGGGCGCGGCGGCACGCTGGCGGCGGGCTGGGCGCGCGGCGGCCGCGCCATGCTGGCCGCGCGCGCCGCGCTCTGGGCAAGGGTCGCCGCGCGCGCCGCACTCGCCGCGCTCGCGCTGCTCGGACTCGTGCCCTTGATGTTCGGCCTACTGCTGGAGTTGGTAAGTCATCATTCTTATTTCCTTATCCTTACTAACATTATAAATCTGAAAGTGAGTTTGTTTGTTTGTTTGCTCCACCTTCACGCCGTAACTACTCAAGCGATTGCTTTAAATTTTTGCAGACGTAAAATTAGAAGTCCGTATTAAATAATAGAGTACTTTTTAACCCGGAAAAATTGATATCCCCAAGGAAAAACAAAAGTATTGGTATAGATGGCGCTGTGTGTATTGGTAATGTCACATAGGCTACTTTTTATTCTTTTGTGACGCGGGCGAAGCCACGGGTAAAAGCTAATTATAAATAAAGCTACGAATGAACAATACCTACATAACCTGTTGAAATATCGTACCCTAAACTTGTTCATGCAAAAGTAGTCTCTAAACATCAGAAATAAGGTCTATAATGTAGTTAGTGGAGAGCGGTCACCGGTGAGTCCGGTGACCATGTTAAACAACGATGACTGACAGCTAGCTAAGGATTTTTGGTCTTAAAGGGTTTTGTTAGCGGTAACATAATCAATTCTGTTACAATTTATGCATAATATAGGTATAATAGGTGGAAGTAATCTGGAATGTTTGCAATTTATCACATGAATACCCAGCACCTATGTACTCTTATTTTATATATATAACGATCGACGAATCTTAACGAATCTTAACTTCTTTATTGAACGTTTGGTTATAACTACAATTGCCAAGCAAGGGAAAATAAAATCTAGGAGATATTTTCAATTTTATCAGTATTATAACATCAAGCCGCAAATTCACACATAAGTAGTAAAAATATGTATTATACACATAATATTATTATATGCATTTTAACACAACTTTTTCCACCAGCATTTTCAAATACATCTTACAACACATTATTCAAATTTCAACCTTATTCCCAGGTACTAGTGATCCCACTTCGCGTGCCAATCGAGCAGTCGCCAGTACTATTTGTATGGCAGGACTGGGCACTGGGCGTGTTATACACGAAGATAGTTTGTGCACTGACCATGATGGGACCCGACTGGGCCATGAGGCGAGCCATCGAGAAGGCGTATCGAGACGGTATTAGGGAGATGGATTTGAAGTATGTATATTTTTTGTATTGTTTATCTCTTCTATTACATTTGATTTGTTTGTATTTCTGGGTTTTTAAAAATAATCTCAGTAGTAGCGTGGAGTCTGAAATTGTGCCCAGTTCCGTATGGCAATAGGCTCACTCCCTATTACATGGGCCTCATAACATAACTAGTGAAAAGTGGGTGGCATTATACAGTGGCATAATGTGCACCTTGACCAAGTCCTTCGGGGATAAAAGGCGTGATGTTATGTAATGTTATGTTCATTCAATTAATTATATTTTGCGATGAACCTGGGATGGTACAAATTGTCCTATAATGTAATTTGAGTGAAGAAATATGTAAAGAAACTTGACAATATTAGAACACAATATAATACAATATCAGTTCATGATACACGCTTTGCGTGCTTTTTATGATATTATAATTGTTACTTTATTTAAATTAAGCTAAAAACGTTTATTTTTTGGTCCCCGATGTGGCTCGAAACCATGCGGACAATCTCGAAAAGGGTCTCGAAAAAAAATTGACGTAGGATATCTATGCGTGCAGGTTCATCCTGCGCGAGATAGCGGCGCCGTGCGTGTGCTGGCTGGGGCTGGCGCTGGCGGTGCCGTACGCGCTGGCGCACTCGGTGCTGCCGCTGGCCGTGGCGGCGCCCGCGCAGCGCAACCTGCTGGCGCGCCGCGTCTACCCCGCGCTGCTACTCACGGCGCTCGTGCTCGCGCTCACCGTCTTCCAGGTACCTTACTCAATATTATTCTAATGTAAATCCTTTATATTGTGTCTTGTTTGTTTATCTGGCCGCGATAAACACGAAATTCTTTACCAGTTCCGTGATTCCTGAGGGGTATAATCTAGGTGTCTATAAGACTCGAATGAATAGGTCGCTTAATGGGCAGGCGTGCTCCATCGTCTGCATTGTCGCTTACCACCAAGCGAGATAATGACCAAATTGCTAATTGCCGACCCATTGCTAATATAAAAAAATGAAAAAAGAAACTTCAATATCCATAAAACCTTCAACACAATGAATCTCAGGCAATTAGACGCACGACTTGGCTATAGTAAGAAGTATAAGAACCCAATTTTACGTGATAATTATCTGTTAATTAATACACTTTACAAAATATACCTACTCAAATTAACACTGCCTAAGGTATTGAAGTTTTTAGTCCTTTCGATGTAGTTTATGATTCCTAACATTATAATTTACCCCCACAGATACGTCAGTTCCGCAAGTTATACGAGCACATAAAGAACGACAAGTACCTCGTGGGCCAACGACTCGTCAACTACGACCACAGGCGACACAAACAACAACAGAGCACCGTCCCCGCCAACTGAACATGACGTCACCGCCGTGACGTCACTCGTGACAGGCCGTGTGATAGACACCAACGATCTCTGTAATTATACCCTTCTTATAAGCGAAACTTTCTTTAGACAACCTCGCTAAGTGATCATTTTTTAAAAGAGGTTTAAAAGTATACTTTTACGCGGTGGAGGTCAAAGTTAATGTTCGTAGAACATCAACTTGCTAAAATGAATCTAAGCACTATAATACCACGGTGCAAAGTTATTTGAATTAGTCGTATCACTACATGTATCTTGTAAATAAAAATGTTTTAGTCACTTAACTTTTAAACCACATGTTGGCATTCCTTGTATAGAAACGTTAGATCTCATGGCCACACTATTTATTGGAGCCGAGCTAAGTAAATAGCACTTTGTGAATCGTCTTCACACTGCCTCTGTCACGAACCGAAACGTTTTATTAAGTTTAAGTATCGATATCCACTCGATTGTATGTGACGACTATTCGATAAAACATGTGGAACTTTTTACCAAAAATAGCTAAAGCGAAACACTAAATGTTAGAAAACGATTACAATAATCGAGTGAAAGTTTAATCGATTGTGGAAATGTTTGACAAAATCGATTTTAAATCGTAGTTAGATATAAAAGCTTCAGCCTAATTAGTAAGTTGCGTGGTGGTAGTCGATTAAACTTTTATCGATTATGCGTCGATTATTCGCATTTATTTTAAGTCAATCGGCATGGAATTTATTTTTTATGTGAATAAAAAAGATTATAAATAATTTAAAAGACACTAAAGTGAGAGAGAATCGGGTTTATATCGACTGGACACGTATTAATTGCCACATGTTACTACTTAAGTACAACATTTACTGAAGGGAGCGGGGTGCACACATAGTCTATAATTTACCTACATTATATCGCATTTCCTAAAATCAAACTTCAAATGATCATAACCTGAGTCTTACTAAATTCACCTTAGTGGAAGTTATCATAAGGTTGTAAATCCATTTCAAATTATTTTCAGATCATACACTCGCTCCCATACTTAAAGCATTTCTTTCTTCATATGACGCCTTTTCATTGTGCAAGTAACTAGCCAGTGTATAGAATCACACATTTTCTTAGATTAATTATGTTGTACGGTACACCCACGTTACTATTTTACGGGGTAACTCAACTAGTTTCGACGTTTGTTCTCAAGGACCCCGGCATGCCTCGAAAGTAGTCGAGCTACCTCGTAAAATAGTTACATGAGTAAACCATACAGTATAATTAATTTGTCTCACAAAAACATTTTCTTAGATTTTATTTTACTTGTTATTATTAATTATTGTAATATTTTTTGGTCTATTTTAAAAGGCCTGACATGTTATTTTGCCAATGTATATTAAAATAATGTTATAATTCTTCCGTTGTAATCATTCCCTCAAACCCTAAGGGTAACTGACCACGTTGCGGCATTTGACGAATGCATGCATCCTTCACAAGCAATAGGCGACCTAGAAATGACAAATGCTTGCATCTTGCTTAGAATCAATAGAATCAGTGCACGAACCGGCAACATGATATCCGTCTATTAGTGAAATACATGCTGTCAAATGATTCAACGTGGACAGTAGGCCTAAGAAGTTACTTGCACATCAATACGTTGTGTAGAATGTTCTAGAAACATAATAAGTCAATAGTTCAGTCTTAAACACCATACTGCAATAATAGTTAGCTAGGAATGTTATGGGATTTTATTCCTTAAAATAATTCTACAAAAATACAAATTACTACAGATGAGAAAGCAATCAGATAGAAAGTTCTAGGGGTGCAATAATTTTAAATTATATGTAATTACACAAAAGTCCTTCATTTACACGTTTTAGTAATTAGAACTATGATCATAGAATATACAGTCAGTCATTTGGTATGTAGGTAATAAAATGAAGATTAATTCAGTACCGAGATTTTTTTTTTAAGGGGGGAAAATCATCGAATGACTGCTCCCGCCTGGGTGAGGCGGAAGGGAGTGTCAGACTCTTACTGACTAAAAACCACCCCGTTCCTTCTCTTGCACGTCGAGCCGGAAACCCGGTTACCCGTTAGGTTCTCCGCGACTTCAGTACCGAGATAGTAGCTATTGTTGTACTACATTGTATGTTTTTTATCAAATCCATATCTTTTGTGCAGAGACGGTAACTATTGTTCGGATCAGTGACCAACCTTGAAATCTATACTGAATCCATCTTCATTTTCTGACCTGCCTACTAAATATCTTCGTTGATTTTACAAGATACAATAATCTTTTTACGTCTCCTTATACACTGGCCAACCTACTCCTTTCTGGCTTTCGTTAGTAGATTTTCAACTTTAATTGTTTTATATAAAGTCGGAAATTCAATTCCTCCGAATTGGAGTCTAATCTGGCCACTTAATGTATCCTCTGAATCTTATTCTTCAATAAGTTAGTCTTTGCTAGCCATCACATTAACCTGCAGTTATTCTTATTATAATTATAATATAATTTAGATTAAACTTCCAATTATAGGTTTCTGATTTCATTATTTGATTATTATAATTCTGATACCACAGCTTGCCAGCTTATAAAATGTATTTTGTATGTGGCAACACATTTATAGTTATGGCTACATTGCTTTTGCAGTGAAAAGGAGTGACCATTATTTTGATTTTGTCATTTAAAACTGGATTTAGAAAGGGGTGGTATTTAATACTTTACCTGTAAATTTCCTTTTTCAATCAAAATATTCGAAATTACCACAAAAAATACTGAATTGCACACTAAATTTGCTCATCAAAAAAATCAATTATACTATCTAATAATTCGTAACCTAACCTATTTTGTATTTCTAATAATTCATAACCTAACCTAACCTATTTTGGAAATTCCGTTGTAACATTGAACAATTTGTGTGGAATATTTTTGTTTTACGATGTAATATGTTTTTATAATATGTAGTTAATTTGTAGTACATTAATTTTTTTGATATGCAGTAGGTAATTAGTGGAGTAATTTGGTTTGTTTCTAAATAGAGGTGCAGTAAAAAATTCCCATTTAGAAAGTGCCAAATTGATTCTTTCTCATTTAATTTGATATGTTAGTATCTGCATCGGAGCAATAAACATATTTACGTCACAATAATTACATTTTACGTTTTAATATACCTCGAATTAAACGTTTTTACACGATTTTTAATTTAAAGGCTTCAAGACTCAAACATTGGTCACTCCCTTTTCACCTTGGTACAGGTATCGTCAACTTTTGAGCCAACTATGAAGTACCAGTATCGTACTAACAAAGGACATTGGTCACGTCAAAAATGTTGACGAAGCCTGTATCTTAAAACCAGCTTCATTGCAATTTATAGTCAAGTTACGTTTTCTTCATATTAATTAGGAACAAGTTAATTCCGTGTTTAATATAGATAATCAATTTTGGTATAGAGGATTCAAAATATTTTTTATATTCAATAGACATGCGATTCCATAATTATATAGTGTCACTTGTCGATAACATTTGAGCTAAATAAAACATGTCTGCCTATAATTTTACGTAAATTACTAAACGACCGGCGTTGTGTCGCGACTTAAAATTGCAAGGGAAAATCAGACGTAAACCGTTTGTTATAAGTGCTATAGTTACGTGGTTTAATTATCACAAAGATTCGCAATTCTAAGTCGAGAGATACGCGGTGAATGAGCAAAAAAAAACTATATAAATATTTATTTCAATTCCGCCCTAGTGTTAAGTAGTTTTATAAAGAAAATATTTATTGTACACTGCTCAATCTTGTATGTGTTTTATTCTTTTTAAAATAATTGTTTTTTTTTTGTTTTTATTAAGCCAGGGTTGTACCCTTTTATTTCTTAAAATGTTTAGTATTGTACAATTGTGTGTATAGTCTACAAAATCAACAATGTAGATATAAAAAACGACTTCGGAAGTGGTTTTAATCATATATTTGTGTGATTTTATTTTTAAATGACATGCTTAGTCTTTGAAGTGGCCTGAGGGCGTACAAGTTAGTTTTACGTTTAGTGAGATCGCAACGATACCGCGTTCAGTGCTCTGATTGGCTGGCTCTAATGAACCATCCAATTAGAGCGTCGGACGCGGTCTCGTTTCGGTTACATTACTTTAAACGTAATATAAATTCGTACTAAGCCGTTTGAATACTTTTTCTGTCCTTTCTTCTCCGGGTTGTAAGTCTGTAATCTTTTTCTAGTATATGTAAATTTGTATAAAATAATTTGACTGGCGTAGTATGTTTTCTTTCAGTTTTATTATTATCAATGGTGAATTAATATGAGTTAGATGACAGTAGATACAGGCAGGTAATAAGCAATTTGTAAACAATAAAATGATTATTGAAATAGATTTTGTCTTTTATTTGAAAATGTCTACTCCTTACAACGACAATGTTCTTAAAGTTTAAAAAATCGGTCGTTGTTTAAGACACAATGAGCATCTCAAAATGTTTAATGCTGTAATTTGTTTGTAGATACAACTCTAGCAACATACCTTTTTACACAAAAAGGTTGCCCCATACAAGGTGCCTAAACAAGGTGGAATTTTGTAGTGCTAACTGAAGGGGAAGTACTCTTAATACTTAAGATAGAAATATTTACTCAAAGATAACTATCCTTTATTTTTGAAAGGAAACAAAACTGCAATCAGAGATATTAAAAATTAGCTTGCTGCACACGATAATCGAACCGACTAAAATCTGTCAATCTTTGCACCCTGTACTTTTATTGAATGGATCGTTAGGGTCAATATGGATGAAATCTAACAAACTTCATAAGAATGAAAGTAAAACATTGGAGTAGTTTTAAGGATCTTAAGAGTACTTCCCTTTCAGGTGGCATTACAAAATACCATCCTGTATAGATTGTTTTCCTGTCTAGTAGGTGCGTTTAGAAACACACAATAATTATTATATCCTACACGTTCATACCTACACTAGAACACTAATTGCCCCGCCCTTACGCCAATTATGCAGTAAAAATTCTCTGTAGAC